TATATATATATACGTCTACCTATACCTATGTACGGATATAGACACGACACGTGATGTGTCTATCGGGCTACCATCCTCAGGCCGGAGAATACCTACGGAGCAACTCCCCGGCTCATCTGCCGTCCCACGTTTTTGGAAGCATTCGATTCTTGTCCTAGAATAGACTTTACTTCCTACTTACTCTGTAGTCACGAGAACCCACAGGTTACATAGTAACAACGCACTGACCAAGATTCTGACGAAACGACGGTGAGCAACGTTGACCCCAGTCTCGGTCTTGAAGAAGTCAATATTCGCATCAAAGTACGTACTACTACGTAGTACGTAGTACTTTTTCCATGAAGCGCTGAAGCCATGGATTGGAGTGAACTGCACTGTAAGGTATCGGATATCCTATCCGACAGTATCGTACAGTCGCGGGAATGTTTGCCGTCCATCATGTCCATCATTCCAAACATCGACAACGTCGTCAGTCGATCGAGAGCACGGAGCATCTAGTCTTGAGAAAAGAGAAAAAAAGATAAGGTTTTCGCTTGCTCAAGGACGGTCAAGGGTCTCAACAGCTGAAGAGGAAAAGAAGAAGGATAAGAAAAAGGAGGGGCAACCAACTTGAACCTCAGACCTCTTCAAGGCACGGCAAGACAAGGCAAGGCGGCTCGGGTCCGGAATTCAATCAACCCCTCACGACTCATCCCACTCCTCACCGCTCTGCTTGATTAAGTACCAAGAGATGCTTTTTTTCCCCTTCAAAGTTTAAGTATCACCGAGGCTACATCTACTACGTAGTACTACGTATATATTATCTACTTAGGTATACAACTATACTGTACGTGAGATATGCTATAGCCGAAAAACGCGTCGTCCTTCAGATATAGGTAGGTAGGTAGGTGTGCATGCAAGCACTTCTCTAAACAGCTCCAGTGACCGAGGCGTGTTGCTGCAGGGGACTCGGCAGTCCAGATGGGCTATTCTCTTGTCGAATGGATGCGGCCCGCTACTCTTCTTCGATTCTTTCCAGAGAGGAAGACAGGTATCATATCTCGACATCGTCCGCGCAGACCTGACACGCTCAAGAGCTGACCAAGAACTCGTAGGACTGGGGGCGTTTCACCTGACCTCTCCCCCACGGGCTTGAGGCTGATTCGGTAGATGTGTGTATGTTGCCAGTGTGGCGAAGATTTATACGGGTTTGGCGTGGAAGCGGTGAGCGTGGAATGTGAGTCCGCGCCGGCATAGAAGGGGTCGTGAAGGGAGGGCGACGACATGCTTCGCGCGGGGGTTTTGAAGAAGAACGAATGGATACCGATGATCATGTAGTGCAGATTGGCAGCCAGGGTTTTAGACTAGGGAAGGTTTTGTTTAGGCCATCGCGGCTGGCCGTCGGCCGCGATACGAAGCAAGAAGAAACCCAAGGCTTCCAAGGGATGCAGGCCGCTGGCCCTAAGATGCAAGTCGCTGGAGTCTAATCCAGTCAAATCGAACACCGGTAGGTGAGGTAGAGGTCCCAAGTCAACAATCCTGAGAAGCCAAGCGAGTTTCACCCCACCCGTCAGGGTCACAAGCTCAGCTCAGACCAGAGAGGCAACAACACCAAGGCGACCAACCGTTGATGGCGCGGATTGATCGACGATGCCATAATTCTGGTATCGGTATCGGGGTTGGGGGTTGGGGGTTGGCATCGCGGAGTACTGGCCGGTATTCTGGAGCAGGAGACAGCACGAATGAATAGCGGATGGATTGGTGCGATTCACTCTGACAACACTACCGGTATCTTGGTAAGTGACTGTAGGGGAGCAGGAGTATGATCAGGAGTATCAGCAGAGTACGAAAGGAGGAAAGATCACGATGCCGATATGCCCACATGTGTCTAGCTGCAGCCAAGTTGACTCGCTCCTGTACACTTTTTCAGACTTTTTAACTGCAGAGCGTAGTGCGATTTCGCTGAGTTGCAGCAGTAGTTCGGAGTACACACAGAACTGTAAGCGAGAGGACCGTGATGGGAGGGAGGCAGGGGAGGGCATTGACTCAGATTAGATGTGTTGATCTTTTCTCGTATATCAAACATGCGAGATGCCATCCCACCGTCACAACATTCGACATTCGATCGAGGGGTATGGAGGAGGCGGGGGTTGGTATCGGTGGAATGCTCGTTTATCATACCATATATCGGCTGATAGGTATATATCCACATCCATATCGACAACGACCACGATACCAGCAGAAAAGTCAATATATTCATTCTTTCGGATTCATTTTCCCTCTCTTTCGTTCTCTGCGGTCCAGCACGTCCAGCACGTCCAGCACGACATCAAAGTTGCCAACGATTTCCAGGGTTCAGGATTCGACTCAGCGCTATTCCCAGGGGGGCCTGTCGCATCCTCACCCATCCGCACAGACTTTCGCGGCGGCTACCGGGGCAGGCGAGATTGTATAGTACGTAGTAAATTGTATTGTATTGTCTTGTGTTGTCTTGTTAGTAGCGTCGCCGCTGTTGCTCACCACCATATCGCATCGCATCGCATCCGGGCGAGATCCTTTTCTTCTCCTGGCCCTCTCTCTCTCTCCCCCTCTCTCCCTCTCTCACACATCTCCCTCTCTCTCTCTCTCTGTCACTCCCACCAGGAGTGCCCGTGGCGCCTTTGTCGACGGACTCATCCGACGCTATCGCGGCTGTCTCCTAGAAGCGGAAGTAGAAGTGGAAGTAGAAGTGGAGGTTGATGTGGAAGTTGATGTGAAATTCGTCTCTCCCAATACCGACCCTACAACGACCTATACTACTACTACTCTTATCCCCCGCTCTCCTCTGCTGCCTCCTGACAGGGAAAACTTTGGACGCATATCAGGGTGGATCTCCTCTACCTTGCATTTGCATTTACATTTAAAGTACATTGACAATTTTATACTTGTACCCTCGCCAGCCGAACCTGAGCCGACTCGACTCCACTTCGCTATTGGTCCGTCCGACATCCTCATCCTCAGACTGCTCAGAACTTTCCCTCTACCCTAACATACCCTGCCGCCCTCACCCAACCCAACCACACACATCGTCGGCCTCTTAACTTGCACTTCCGCCCATTTCCTGTCCCGACGGCGTCAAGTTTTGCTGCTCTGAGTGCCAGTGCCTGGAGTTGTGCTGTGCTGTGCTCATCAGCACTACAGTACTTACCACGACAACGACAAGAAGCTCTCACCCCTCTCTCTGCCCTCTCAGGTACGTGCGCTCTAATCAGGTACTCTCTTCTCATATGCTTGGGTTGCGTTGCGCAGTGTTCTATCATATGTACCCCTCCTCTCCGTCCTGTCCAGCAGCGTTAGAGAAGAGTCGGCGCCGAGAATATCTGTTTTGGTCTGGCCGCGCGTGAAACTCTCGGGATGCTGCGCATGTTCATCAGACGGCGGCTACTTAGCAATCCGCCGAGTTCCTCACTCTGCCGCTCTGCCTTCTATCCTTCTTATGCATCCTCGATTCGCAGACTGATTTGATGCTGTGTGACTCTCAGACCGACTCCTGCCTATCCTTCCCTCTCGAGTCGTACCGTTGCCACAGGAGCCTCGCCGGACTTGTACAAGACAGAGGATAGCCTTTTCGAGGTGTTGTGTGCCGCCGAAGGACTTCCTACACACTCGTTACGAGAAAACACATGCATCCTCAATAATGGATACTGAGGATGGCCAGTTCTTTATCAAGGTATGCAGCTGCAGCGGTGCGGCCATTCTGCGTTACAAGTGCATCAGCCTAACATTCCCTCCAGAACTTGGCTCACTTTGTTCGAACTCACGAGAAGGCTCTTGCGAACGCTCTTCAGTTGCGACGCCAGCAGGCCCCTAAACATGGCGCATCACAAAGTGTATCTGGCTCTGTTGGGGGAATAGCAAGTCCCACGTCCCCAACCAGTACAAGTCCTCCCTCCTCTGCCTCTTCCGCGACGACATCGAGCACACTCGCTGCAGCCCTCTCCCTCCCATATTTGACATTTGCGTCCCATAATATAAAGCCTGCCAAACTTGCCTTAACGCCCCATCACCTCTTCTACCTGCTCTCCCGATTCGAAGACCTCGGAATATCAGTAGGCCCAATGAATGTGCGATTGGAAAACCTCCATGCGGATACATCGGCATCAAATTATGTCTCCTTCCTCAGTCAAGCACAACGACCGAAAGGTCGCGGTTCGGACCACGGATCCATACATTCAGTATCCAGTGTACGGAGCGTCATGTCCGGCATGTCCTCCTTATGGTCGAATTTCGGCCTGGGATCTGGAGGTGCTGCCGCGCGAACAGAGAAACAGAAGGCCGCGATCGAGGCAGATCTGAAGTACCTGTACTCTGCATTTACAAAGATACCTTGCTTAAGACTGGCACCAGATCGTCGAGCCCGGCTTATCGAAGGATACGAAGAGTTCCCTTTTGACACGGCTGTGCCACTAATCGCCTTCAAGAACATCAGTGCTCTAGAGATAAGTGACATTGACATCCGGCAATTCTTTGGATGGGACCGAATGGCCGAACAGCTGAGATCCTTGACTGTCAAACGTGCTGGTGTGGACGACCCTGCCGACCTACTCATTAATATAGTGCTCGACGATATGGACAAGAGACGGCGAAGATCATCCAAGGCTCAAATGTCACCGACGTCCACTTGGGCAGCCGCAACAAGCCCGAGGAGAAGCCCAACGATTCCGCACGCAGAATTGGTCAAATCGAATTCCGCTCCAGGCTCTCCAGAAGATCGAACACATGTCGGAGAGGAAAGCGATGAGCGAGGTGCTTCGCTCGTACGGTCAGGCTCAGATGGCGCAAAGTCTCCGACAAAGTCTCGACCCAGGAGCAATTCTCCTGTGCGACCCAACAGCTCGAGGACTGGCTCTGCACATGGGCACTTGAAGGGCTCCCACAAAGTTAAAAGGTCCGGATCTGGAAGTTCGCATTCGAGCATGTCGGAAGGCTGGCCCAACATGCGAAGCAGCTCATCGAATCTGCTTTCGATGGGGGTCCTGCCTTCATCAAAATGGAGATTTCTCAAACATCTCAGCCTAGCTGACAATAGTCTAACATCCATAAGCGCTTCAAGTTTGGTACCACTGGCCAACACCCTGCACTCCCTCGACCTCTCCTCGAATCTCTTCTCGCAGATCCCCGACTGTCTCGCCTCTTTGACGGCTCTCCGAGCACTCAACCTTTCTAATTGCATGATTGATTCACTTCATTCATTGACAAGAAATCCCCTGCCAGCGATCACAGCTCTGAACCTTCGATCTAACCGACTGATATCAATCGCTGGCGTCGAGAGACTATACCCCCTCGAGAGACTCGACTTGCGCGATAACAGTATGGGAGATCCAACAGAGTTGGCAAGGCTTACCGGCATCCCCGATATTCGTGAAATTTGGGTTTCGGGGAACCCATTTACGAAGACGCACGTTAATTATAGAGTGACAATCTTCAACTTATTCCGAAGTACTCCCGGATACACCGAAGACATTCTCATCGACACCTACGCCCCTGGTTATGGCGAGCGGCGGCAATTGGTTGAACGTACACCAGAGAAAGCGAATGTGCCAGTTGTCAAACCTCAACAAGACTATGGACTCTCTCCAGTGGAGGTGAACAAGCCGATCATCGACTATCCGACGAATCGAGAGCCGTCGGCGCACCACAAGGAACGGCCGATACCTGCAGCCGCGACTAGCGAAATACACACAAGTGCTTCAGGCAGACGGAGACGGACACCCAAAAGGAGGATAGTGGATCTTTCAACCTCCGAAACGTCTCCTAGCAAGCCTATTAAGCCAGACGTCAAATTCCCTGCGGACGGATCGAAGGTTGTAGCTACAGCAGGGTCAGACAGTGGTTATGGTATCAGCCCTGATCCATCGCCTCGCATTGTGACTTCCTACGTATCGGCAGGCCCTCGGCAAACTCAAAGTTCGTCAGATGTTCCCCGGATCGATACATCAGTAGTACCACGCCTACCACCTATAGAGACAGTAAGCTACGAAACACCCCTTGTCAAAACGCAGAATGCGCAAGAAGACTGGAAGATGAGTGGCGAGCTATACAGAAAGAAACTAGAGGCGCTCCGCAACGAAGTCGGCAACGGCTGGTTGAGCGTCCTGAGCGAAGAGAACTGGGACGGGCAGCGAAATCCCCAGCAACCATTTGGAAGTTCGGAGTATAGTCCTCCGAGCACGATACGGCCGAGTTCTACCACACCTCGAGCTACCAGCCAAACAATAAACAGTGGGCGGACACTAGGGTGAGACTACGAGGGAGCAGTCCCCTTCATTGGAGGATTACCCTCTGTACTTGGAGGTCTCGTTTGCCCCGCGGGGAAGGAAGGGGTAGTTGCATTGGGTGGCTGTTTTTGATACCCTTGTCTTTCCATTTTTTTCTCTTCCAAAAGTTGCGTTCGGGCCATTTTGGACGAAAAGACTGGTTTTTTGCATTTCGGCATTCTTGGTTCTTATTTCTACTTCTGTTTGGGTTATCGTTTAATCATTACAGCATAGCGTTTAGGTCGGGCGAGGGCATCTGCACTTCTGTGTCTTTTCTGTTCTGGATCCTTGTCCTTCGACATCGGAGCTGGTTTTTCGGGGCGAAGTTGAGGCGGGGGGTGATTACTTTGTTCGTGATGAGCATCTGGGTTGCCTAGATCGTTCACGGACGGAGACGATGAATCTTTTGGAGTGTTTTTGACAGATCGATACGCGGCAGGATGAATGTCTTGGCGCTGTAAGATATGGGTCTTTTCTTCCACTTTTACACCAGGATTGGTCTACCAGGGATTCTTTTGATCTGGAAGAGGAGTGGTGGGGGAGGGGGCGGCGAAGCGGCGTTGATTTTATGATGGCATTTGTTGGTTGGGAGGCCTGTTTTGGTGCTTGGCTTTGCTTTTTCTACTGCATTGAGCGAGCGAGCGAATGGCGAATACACTGATATACCGAATGAGATGATCACGATCGCACGACGGCAAGCCGGGAGAAGGGCTGGAGACGGAATGAAAGAACCATTTTCGGCTACTGAGTACCTCGAAGTATCTTTCCGACATGATTATTTCTATTGTGATTTATTTGGTTGCGATGGTGACCCGGCTGTGTTCTTTCTACAACTCGAGATGGCTTGTCGGCCTTTCGAGCACCCTTCATCACCTCCAACTAGACCTTGGCTTGTCCTCCCCGCGACCAGCCCGCTCCCTAGAATTTCATATGTGAAGCCTCTCCAATGTGTCTATCTCTTCCCTTCCTCATAATCCCTCCCCACTGAAACCACTGAAGGGGCCTGCCTGCAAGGTATACTTGGCAGTGTACGTACGTGTGAACGTATGTATTTTACGGTCAGTTACGTCTCTCTCTTTTTCTCTCTCTCTCGCTCGCTCGCTCGCATGCCTATTTGCTTGACTCGTTTTAATTATCCGCTAACTACTGATACATAGATGGTTTGGTGAGCAGCAGCTGGTAGGGTGCGTGGGTGATGGAGGAGGGGTAGGATAGCGTTGCGGAGATGGGGGGGGGGTTCTAAATTGAAAGTCGTACTGGCTGGCTGGAGTCTTGGGATGGATGTGAGTGAGTGGGTGTAATGGGAGTGGGCCAGACAGAGATGGATGGAATATAAGCGGAGGCGGAGGTGGAGGGAGGTACTGAGTACTGAGATGAATATGGTTTGTCTTTGGGGGGGGGATGAGCTTCGCGCTGGAGACGCTAATATTGGACTTCACAGGGAGCAAGGCACGGAAGGACACGGACATGGACACCGAAAGAGGGATGGACGGGGTACAGCTGCTTTTCTGGTTGACCTGGGCCCTGGAATATAGTGTGCGGGTGACTGACTCACTTCCGTACCGGTTGTTTATGATGGAATGGGTGATCGAGAAACATGGATCGAGAATCTATTTATCATATGAAAGCTGTAAGCGGGAGTGGCAGATGGAAACGGATAGGCGCTGCTGATGTGTGTACAGACGTTTTCTCTCTCGAGCAGAGGATTCGAAGCTGGATGTAAGTGTGTATGGATGTACTTATATCGTCCACCGGCACCTCAGCAATACTGGGTAAGTTGCAGACTGACTGTAGAAAAAAAAAATCCACCCGCTTAGATGAATGTAATTTGCAGTGATGAAATATCAGATCCATACACGCACACACACACATATATATATACCTCTTTCTCATCATATAGAGGTTTGGAGGTTCCCACTAAACCACCCTACTAATCCCCACTTTCTCTCTTTCCACAGACTGCAATACACGGAGAAAAAAAAAAAAAAGGAGACGTACCCAAGCTAAACACTCAGCCCACGCCAGACATGGGGATCGACGCAGCTCCGGCACTCCCATCCGCCTCATCCAAGATCTCCCCCATTTCGTCGGTACGCCCGGATGGAGCGAATTCGAGCGCCACCCCGAGCTGGACGGAGCCCTCCCGACTCGATATCCATTGCCATCCCGTCCCGTCCCGTCTCACGCATTGCGCAAGCAGAGCAAAGCAAGGGAAGTGAGGGAAGTAGAGCAGGGCAGAGCAGAGCAGAGACAGGTAAAGCTTGAAGTGAAGTTCGCGAGTAGAGAGTAGAGAGTAGAGAGTAGAGAGTAGAGAGTAGAGAGTAGAGAGTAGAGAGTAGAGAGTAGAGAGTAGAGAGTAGAGAGTAGAGAGTAGAGAGTAGAGAGTAGAGAGTAGAAAAGGAAAGTAAGATAAAGCAGACCAAGACTCATGCCAACTATCTATCCATCCATTCATCCATTTGTATATCCTCCTCAGATGAGAGAAGAAGAGAGGGGTCACGCGTAACTTTTCCGCGTCTGATCTGCGTTGCCTGCTGGTGCCGGCCAGCCAGGAAAGGAAGGTACCTCAATGGCTAGGCTAGGCATTGTAGGGTGTAGTGCGGGAGGGAGGGAAAGGTTGTAGTTACGTATGTGCTCCGCAGAGCAGAGGTGGAGATGCCAAAAAATAAAAATAAAATACAAGCTTAGAAGACAGGGAATAAAACAGGAATAAACTCGCCGGACACCCCCCCTCCTTACCCCCTTACCAGTATCTCGTGGCTACCATGTCGTTGTCGTTGAAGAGAACGACTCCCCCCCCCCCCTCTCCCAACCAAGGGCTCAGTCTGATTCATCCTGACTCAGTCTCGACTTGCATAAGACGCGAGTCCGTCCATCCATCTCTATCTTTTTTTTCATCTACCCATCCCTCAACGTTATCTACTTACCGTACCTGCTTAGCAGACGCTGGACAGGACGGAGCTTGCCTATCTACCTGACTGCCGGACTGACTCGTGAAAAGGACGTAAAGTAGGTACCGAAGTCATCTACGGAAGCTAGCTCTAGCTAGCTCACCGCCTCCTCCTCCTTCTCGGGTCGGTTATTAATTAGTCAGTTAATGACTTGATCAGAAGGAAGGAGAAGGAGAAGGAAAGGAGAAGGAAAAGGAAAAGGAAAACGGAAAGGAAGTGAAACCAGGCACCAGGCGCCCAAGCAGATCCTCCAATCACTTCAGGTCTCAAACTGACCCTAACGTGCATCAAGTAAAGCAAATCAGAGCAAAGCGGGATCGAGTAACTGCGCAACCAAGTCCCTCACTTCCCTCCCTCAGCAATATCAACGAACTCGTTACGAGCCAGAGCCAAAGTATCAACAACAACAACAACAACAACAACAACAACAACAACAACAACAACAACAACAACAACAACAAAAACAACAAGGTAAACAAAGCCCAACGACCAGCAAAACGCTAATGGCGAAAGTAATCAAGCTGATCGATTGACTCCGAAAAAAAAAGCAAAAAAAAAAAAANAAAAAAAAGGGGGGAAGCTGCAGAGAGGGAGGGAAGAGGCAAAAAAGAACTCCATCCATGGATTTCCATACATACACATATAATAAAAAGTCAAGAGAACCATGACCACTTCCCTTCACACCCAAACACAGCATCCCATCTACAAATCCAAATCACAAAGACCAAAAAAAAAAAAAAAAAACCAAATTCAGTCCAATCCAATCCAATCCAATCCAAACAATAAACACCCCAAAAAGAAGAAAGAGCGCCCCTTCTCCCCAGCTAATCCCTCAGATCGCACGCAATCCATACACAAACACACACACACATACACACACACCATACCCCAGAATCCAGCCAACCACGGGAAAGCGTAGCCAACAGAAGAAGAAGAAGAAGAAGAAGAAGAAGAAGAAGAAGAAATAACTACTCAGCCGAAGAGAGTCAGTCAGTCAACAAGACGGTGAGAAGGAGGACGGACATCACCCGCTAGCTATCGCTTGTCGCTACCGTTACCGCTCGTCGCCTTTGACTCGGATACCCTGAAAGAGGGGTAGGAGAAGGTCAGGGTAGGGGAGACCGCAGGCGTACACATACCACACTACCATACTACCGATATTACTCACCCGCCAGATTTCATGCGGCTGCTCCCCGCAGAGAACGTCCTGGACACTTTATCGTCACTACCACATTCAAGTAAGCCAAATAGGCGATTCGTTTAGTTGACTTCAATTCGATCGGGAGAGAGAGAGAGATAGAGATAGAGAAGGGGGAGAGAGAGAGAGAGAGAGAGAGAGAGAGGAGCTACACAGACAAAAGTAACACCTTAACATTGCGCGCAAAAGAAGGCAGGCCTCTCGCACATCGCAACCTCATATACACACTGAAAAATGCTTCTCCGTAGCCGCCAGCCAGCCCAGTCATTATCTCCGCCCCAAGCCCCCCATTGTTTTGCCCACCCAAGAACACTCTCTTTGTTTTCTCAGAAACCCATTTCTTTTGTCTACTCGTTTCTCGAAGAAAAAAGGCTTGCAAAGGTCGCGTAAAGGTCGCAGTTGTATGGCCGTGGATCATGTTAGCTCTGGTGTGGGCGAGAAGAAATAGAAGTCGTGTACAATCGGGATACGGCGCCGAGAGGTTGTCACCAGTGTAACGCAAGGTATGCACGCGCACCACCGTAGGTATGTTTCGGGATGAGAGAGATCGAGGGATGTTCGAGTTTTGAAGTTTATGGCCAATTCGGGGGGACGATGGGAAATAGGTCGAGGGCGCTCTGGGCAATTCGTCTTGAGTCTCGAGAGGGATTCGCAAGGTTATGCTTATCTGCGTCCGAACCTGCTACACACATAGAAGTTCGTAATAGTTCACTAATGCTTGGGTTTCCTCGGAGGAGTGACGGGCCTGCTGGCACCAAAGCCACCGTACACGTACTTTTGTTTCTTCTCTGCTGGCTTCAAAATCTGGTGGGGAGAAGTTAGCAAGGACTGGGGGTATTAGATTCGGGTGGCATCTAACCTGGAATGAGCATAACAGGCTCTCATCCACGCTCATCATTGCTCCAGCATTGTCGAACTCTCCACAGTAATTTGGTGCACTGAACAAGGTAACCAATTGCCGCTTTGAAAAGAACTCGTAACCATCTTCAACGACCTGATGAGCGCGGCATATCAAGTCCATGTCATGCTTTTGGAGGAATCTGGACACAACATCGGGGCCGAAGGTGAAGGAGACACCACGGTCGTTCTCGCTCCAGCCGGTGATGTCCTTGTCTGGATCGGACCAGAGGAGATCGCAGAGGAGACCACAGTCAGGAATCTAGGTTGGTCAGCAAGATCTCATGCCCTCTCTCGGAATGCCGAGAGGTGGCAAGAAGAGAAACGGGTGTACTTACATCAGTTGGGCGCATGACACGACGGATCTGCTCCATGGAGTTCAGGTCGGGGCTCAAACCACCGTGCATTGTGAAGATCTTCTCGTCGATGATGGCTGCGATAGGGAGGCAGTTGAAGCAGTCCGTGAATGTCTTCCATAGCTTGATGTTGTACCGCCTCTTGCACTCGTCGTAGAATCCGTAAATACGGTTGATGGAGGCGCACTCGTGATTGCCACGGAGGATGAAGAAGTTTTCGGGGTACTTGATCTTGTATGCAAGAAGCAAGCAGATGGTCTCAAGAGATTGCTTTCCTCTGTCGACATAGTCTCCAAGGAAAAGATAGTTTGCCTCCGGAGGGAAGCCTCCGTACTCGAACAAACGGAGGAGATCATAGTACTGGCCGTGAATGTCACCGCAGATCTGCGAGCACGCGACTGGGTCAGTGGGGGCACTCCCGAGGAGAGTGTGCGGAATCAGTGGCAATGGGACGAACCTTGATAGGAGCTTCAAGCTCAAGGAGGATGGGTTGAGAGATGAAGATTTCGCGGGCCTTTGTGCACAGATAACGGATTTCTGCTTCCAAAAGCTGAACTTGCTTGCCGGGTCGGCTGCCTCTGACCTCCAACAGTCTATCGATGATAGAATCGAGGTCTACATCTGTCTGATCCGCCATGGCTTCGATCCTCTGGTGGGAAGGCTGACGGGGGTTGTAGTTGGTCTTCCTCAGATACGTAAGGGGGGGTGGATGGACGACTTTCTTAGGTTCGAATTCGCTGTCGGGAGGGCTGTGATTCACTTCTCGATCTGCATGCGTTGCAAAATTAGCATTAGGCTGACCCCCCAAAAAATAGGAAGCAAATTTGGCGGCGGCGCGCTCCAGAACCCTCAGCGCCAGGTACAGAGGCTGGAACACGTACAATGAAGTGAGATCGGCCTCAATGGAGCTTTCTGCAGAAAGCCGCGTCGGATATGGGGCGCTTGCAAGAGTCGCGCGTCGCCTTTATCGTCGAGGTGGAGGTAGAGGTAGAGGTAGAGGTGTGGCCGGACCACGAAAGAATCACCTCTGCCGAGGGCGACGCGAGGGAGAGAGAAGTCGGAATTATCGAAGAAGTGATGGGCTGTTCTCGCTCGGTCACTGGCTATGCGGGTGAATGCAGATGAAAATCTTTGTTGATGCTGGCGTCGGGGGCTCGAGGGGGTGGGGGAGGGGGGGGGGAGGTGGTGGTGGTGGTGGTGGTGGTGGTGGTGGTGAAGGTGAGCGGGCTTGTTCGGATTTCGAATTCTGTGTTTTGGACAAGCGCGGGCTGATAGACGAGCGGCCCCAGAGAAGGCTAAGTAAGTCCCGTATAGGATGAGCTCGGGGCGGTCGGCGTCAAGGTCGCACAATGATTTGGTTGATAGACGGACTATTTGGACTGTACGGATGGAGGTGGAGACGGAGATAGAGATGGAGACCTATCTCTTTCTTTCTTTCTTTCCTTCTTTCTTTCTTTCTTTCTTTCTTTCTGTGCGGTTATTGTTGTTGTTATTGTTGTTGTTGTTGTTGTTGTTGGGGGAAGATATCGTAGGCGGGATGAGAAGAGGGTGGGCTGCTGGGCTGGGATGGGGCAGTAGGCTGGGAATGCGGTGCGGTGCTGTGGGTGCGGTTGGGGGGTGATTAGAGTTTTGCAGAGACAAGAATGTCAATGTCAATGTCGAAAAATCATCAGGGAGCGTCTTGAAGAGCAAGGAAACACGATGGAATTGCTTCAATCAGATCGTGAATGCGTGATGGCAGATTTCGGGTTCTGTTCAGATCTAGTCCCGAGTCCTCATCGCTGGATGCTCTTCGAAGATAATGTTGGAGTATCTACTAGTTAGCAAGTACCGGTACCCGTATCCCCCGTCTTTTGTAAGGCCAGCCCAATTCAAGGTACTCAACCCAACCCAACCGTACAACTAACTACATTCCTCTTTCAAACAGGCGCCGTCGTAAGCAGCAACAACCTTCGGCGCTTATTGCCCCCCGCGGAATCTCCACCGGCCCCCTGGAACTCTCCCTGGATACAGTAGTATATATGTCGCTATGTCTCTCGTCATACTCAAGCCACTTTCTCGACGGTGCCCCATAAGAGAGAGGTGCATCATCACTCTTCCACTTCCAACCAGCATGGAGCGCTACGTGGGACTCGGAGGGGTTTCTACATTTCGTGATATCCATCCATGGATCGCGTGTCTACCCTGCCGTGTTCTCGCATGGAACAATGAGGTACTCGAGGCCCAATGCACTGCGGCATGTCTCAATTATTCAAAGGCCGAGTCTTCTGGCTCATCTCAGGGGGACGGTCGAAGCTACAAATACCGCAAGCTTGGTCGGTAGACTTCCATATGTATGCACATGGAGATACATTAAGTATCTTGTACCCGTTTCGCGAGGAAGCCATGCAAATCAACATTATGCATCTTGGATGAACTCCGCAGAGTCAATTCTTTGTTCCTGGACACAACATAAACGCCGAGTCTTTATTTTCACAACACCAGTAACACACCGAATTGTGAAAAATGGTGAGACTGGTTGCACGCATCCAACGTAAAGCTCTCCTAGCTCGGTCTTCTAGCTCCCCCCCCAAACCACACCTGCCAAGTTATCTACCACCCCTTCCTTCCATCCAACGACTCCAAAAAAAACTCACCAGAGAAATCTACGCACAATCCTCACAATCCTCCCCAGGCTTGCAATACCCTCCTCCACTATTCTCATCACTAACCTCCGCCTTCACCGTGGCATCCACCATCTCCCCACCACCCCCATCCTGGCCCTGGCTGGAAGACGGCCGCGAGCTGACGTCCACATCCATGGGCGTGAACTTTCGTTCATTAGGGCCCTCTAAGGCTTGAAGGTGGTTGATGGCGTGGGGAACTGGGGTGCCGGTGTTGGTGTTTTGAGGTAACGGATCTTGGGAAGTAGTTGAGATGGGCTGGGTGCTGGTCGGTTCTGGTTTGGGAGTGCCTTCTTTCGTTAGGCGTCAATGCACAGAAAGGGGGAAGATGAGGAGGGAGGTAATGTAAAGGTACTCTTCTTTCCGTCGACATGGCCTAAGTCTCGCTTGGGGTCTATGATATCTCTTACTCGGCGCTTCAGCTCTTTCGTCTCTGGTGATCATAGTCAGCATCGTTGCATACTTCAACTGGATAGGAGAAGAGATGGACGGCTATCTTCTATCCTTGAGAGGTTGTCCATCTTGAACAAGAAAGCATCTCGAGCTTTTATCCACGCAACTATGAATGTCTGCGACGCAACTCTGGAACCATGACTTGACGGTCCAGACAAGCAAAGAGCGGCTAGCTTACCAGGGAATTGACCCTCAGCCTTCCGATCCCAAATGACATGCGTGGTGATAGTAGCGGGGAGTCCATTAACGTCACTCGAATTCTCCGTCAGGAGATGGACAATGAAGGTCCCTCCGCTGGAAGGCTGCAAGGCCACCTCGCCCAGGGAGGTCGAGAACGTCGACAGCAATTCCTGAGCAAACTTTTGTCATGAAATCAGTAACAATTGTAGTCTATCATGACTTGACGCATAGGTAAGAATTGAAGAGAAGGTTCCATGGTTGCCCTCGTGATATTGCATCACGTGCCATATTCCAACCCAATAGGATGATGTGGGAGCGTTCAAGCTTTGGTGTATGAAATCCGCAGCAGCGGGGGGACTTATGGTGCAAATTTCGGAGGAATTGAGGAGATAGGTTTCTCACGTATGCCGCCCTATGAGCAGTCAGCATCGGGAAGAGAGTGAGAGCCTAGAGCTGGCAATTTTACGAAAGAGAACAGATGTGGAGATGGATAGCCTGGGCAATAATAGCTATTCGAGTCACGGGCAAGGGAAGTGGCTAACCTTAAAAGCCATTTGCATTGTGTGCAAAACTCGATGGAGACTCGAGGGTACCGCATATGCGACGAGGCGCTTCCTGGATCCGCCATGACTATGTGTGGTGTGATAGCGCTCTGAGTCTTCTTGATATCTCGAACAGAAAAGCAGGTGTATCCAGTGGGGAAAGGATGGATCGAAGTCGAGGTATCTAATATCGAAGCCATGCCTTGGGCCAGCGGGTAACCTGAATTCGCTTGTCCCACCTAATCTGAATGGACCACAAAAAAGCCAACATTTCACAATCAGGATGAGGGATGCCGGAATTTAGGACTGTTATACAAATTGAATGCGCCTTACGATTATGGTATGGTGGCACTCCATCTTAAGACTCCGAAGCATTTTGTACCTCTTTAACACACGAAGCAACCCGCAGTCCCCATGACAAACAATGAAATATTACATGCTCTTTCTTCGTCCAAGCCTTCTAAGGAAAAACATACACCATTGCTTGTGCCGATAGAGGTATTATCGTACACTCATCCATTACGCCTGTGAACGCCTTTTGGTATCAAGCCCACCTACATGACTATACAGCAGCCTCCGGATTCTGCAGAAAAAGAGGTTAGATTATGCGTGGACATCAAGGGGTTTTGGTGCTCACGTTGTGGTGCGTATGGATCGTCCTTCTTATCAACCGATCCCCAAGCCGATGGGACCATGAAGTCCTTCGTGCTGTTCGTGTAGGAGATGATACTGCTCGATTGTGAGCCTGCGACCTCTGCGTGAGAAAACCGAACCTGTATACCTCTTAGACGCTTGTGAGACTGGAATGCGTTCTCTCTCCAGATCCTCTCGCAGACGGGTGTTCAGCTCGGTGAGACGTCGCAGTTTGAGATCCGCCATAGATTGTTTGTTTTTCTTGATCTGGCCGGGGTCTTCGCGGGAGGAGTATCCAGAAGGCATTTTGAAGAAATCGTTGCTCGGGGCGGTCGCGAATCCTGATCAACTCGACTGTCAGAGCGGTTACAATTGAAAGACCACGCGGCCTGAATTCCGCTGCGCGTACCTGGAAAATTATTGAGACCGGAGAGCTCGAAGCTTGCGACAGCTTCCTGGACGGCGTTGAGAGCGATTAAGAGGGTGGCCGTTTGCTTGGGATTATGCTGTTCGGGGTTCGTGTTGTTGTTGCAACTCGGATGTCAGGCTCCAGCGCTCAAAACGGACTAGACCGATGACTGGTCGAGCCTTGATGCCTTAGGCCGCACCACTCGCGTAAAGCGATGAATTTTGCGATTGCACGGGCCGCACACAAGCACTCAAAAAACCCGATCCATTGTCCTCTCGGCCACCAGGTATCCCCATCGAAACACTGACCCAAAATACACGTCAACTACCCGGCGAGGGCATCGCGGAATCTCAACATGCCTCCTCCTCCTCCCCACCAGAAGCCAGAGAACGTGCTGAAGCGTGCTCATGAGCTGATGGGCGTGGGCCAAACGCCGGCTGCGCTGAACCTCCTTCACGAACACATCACTTCCAAGAGAAGTCGAAATGCACCCATCACGTCCCTGGAGCCGGTTATGCTCCTGCTCGTCGAGCAGTCCGTCGAGCAAAAGAAGGGTAAGCTTGCGAAGGATGCCTTGTATCAGTACAAGAACATCAGTCAAAATACAAACGTCGGCACGATTGAGGTAGGGACCGAACCACACCCCACGGATGACGTTGCGGAGGCGACGCTAACACTGCGCAATAGCTGGTGTTGAAGAAGTTTATCGAGTTGGCAGAGGAGAAGGTGAAGACGGCACAAGCCAAGGCTGACGAAGTACAATCCTCCCTTGAAACCACCGCCGCCACTGCCAGTGTGGACGATCTCGAGGCCAGCGAAACCCCAGAATCCATCCTCCTTTCGACTGTCTCCGGGGAACAATCCCGAGACCGTACAGACCGAGCTATCGTTACACCATGGCTAAAATTCCTCTGGGAGACCTACCGAACCGTTCTCGACATACTCAGGAATAATGCGAGATTGGAAATCATGTACCAGAGCACTGCCATGCAGGCTTTCGAATTCTGCCAAAAGTACACCCGGAAAACCGAGTTTCGCAGACTATGCGAGCTGCTCCGAAACCATGTTCAGACTGCCGCCAAGTACTCTGCTCAGATGCACGCTATCAACTTGAACGACCCAGACACTCTTCAGCGCCATCTTGAGACCCGTTTTCAACAGCTAAACGTCGCGGTTGAACTTGAGCTGTGGCAGGAGGCTTTCAGAAGCATTGAGGATATCCATACCCTTTTAAACCTCAGCAAGCGCCCACCGAAGAATGTCATGATGGCCAACTACTACGAGAAGTTGACCCGTATTTTCCTGGTTGGAGAGAACTATCTATTCCATGCTGCTGCTTGGTCCCGATATTATAACCTGCTCCGCCAGTCCGCCTCCATGGTCGCAGCCGGTCAAAGCAAGAAGGCTGATAACCCAGCAACTTCTGAGGCTGATCTCTCCAAGGCCGCTTCTTTTGTTCTCTTGTCTGCTCTTGCCATTCCAGTCATCAGCACTTCGAGGTCCCGTGGTGCATTGGTCGATATTGACGAAGCCAAGAAAAACAAGAACTCTCGCCTCACTCATCTACTCGGAATGGCTCAAGCCCCTACCCGTGCTGTTCTTTTCAAGGATGCCATGAGCAAGGGTCTTCTGAAGCGCGCTCGCCCTGAGATTCGTGAGCTCTACCAAATCCTGGAGGTTGACTTCCACCCCCTGTCTATTTGCCAGAAAATCTCCCCTATTTTGGCCAAGATTGGACAGGATGCCGACATGGAGAAGTACGTACTTCCCCTGCAGCAAGTCATCTTAACCAGACTCTTTCAACAACTGTCTCAAGTCTATGAGACTGTGGACCTCGAGTTTGTTGAGAACCTCGCCAAGTTCCCAGAGCCTTTCCAAGTCAGCAGAGATACCATCGAGAAGTTCATCATGAACGGAAACAAGAAGGGTGATCTTGCCATTCGTATGGATCATGCAACTGGTGTTCTTAGCTTCGACACTGATGTTTTCTCCTCCACCAAGGCTGTTCAAGCTGGCTCTGGTGGTGGGTCTGCTGAGAGCGAGACATCTTCAGTTCAAAGACTCCAAAGCACTCCTTCCGAAATTGTGAGAACCCAGTTGACTCGCTTGGCGAGATCTCTCTACATTACCTGCCAATACGTGGATCCTTCGTTCAATGATGCAAGAGTCAAGGCTAGAGACGCGGCATTCGCTAGGGCAAAAGCTGGCGCAGAACAGGAGCATCTCGAGGTTTTGTCACGGAAGGATGTCATCGCCAAGAGAAAGGAGGAGGCTTCACAGATACAGGCACAAAAGGATAAAGAGGACGCCACTCGGAAACGTCTTAGAGCTGCCCAACTTCAGGAGGCCGAGGACAAGCGACTTCAACAAGAGCAAAAGGATCGTGAAGAGAAGCGTCTCAAGGCCGAGCTGGACCGAGTTCGCAAGGAGGAACTCAAGAAGCAGATCGCTGACCTCAAGATTGGCCCCAAGGCAATTGATATCGACCTTGAAAATATTGATAACCTCGATAGCAACGACATTCGCCGAATCAAGCTTCAGCAACTGGAGCGGGAGAAGAACGACACTAATGAGAAGCTCCGTATCACTGGCAAGCGTATCGATCATCTCGAGCGAGCTTTCCGGAAGGAGGAATCCAAGAAGCTGCCTGAAGATTACGCCTCTCAACGCGAAAGGGATCTGCAAGCTTACGAGAAGACCAAGGCACAAACTTTGAAGGACGCTGAAGCCAAACACCGAGAGAATGTCGATCTCAAGCACAGACTGAGCCGTCTTGTTGGCCACTACGAGAGCTACAGAGAGACGATTGTCGAGCGAAGACAAGATGAGTTCGAGAAGCGTCGCCGTGATGCCCAGAGAGACTTGGATAAGGCTATGGCCGCACGCAAGAAGGAATTCCGTGAGCGCAAGGCACGTGAGAAGAGAGAGCGCGCAGAGCAAGACCGCATCTTGCGCGAGGAGGAGGAGCGTGCGGCCAAGGAGGCTGAGGAGAAGGCCGCCAGAGATGAGAGGAAGAAAGCCGAGTTCGCGGAGCTGAAGGCCATTCGTGAGAAGGAGAGACAAGAAGCCCTGGAGATGGCTGCACTTCAAGCCAGACGAGCCGAGGAGGCAGAGAAGAGACGTGCTGAAGCCAAGGCCGCTCCCAGAGGAGCTCCCCCCGCGATGGAGAGAGGCGGGTCAGGAGCAACGAGACAACCGCTCGCGCTCACTGGTGCGAAGCCTGGAGGATGGAGAGAGAAAGAGAAGTTGCGAATGGAAGGAAAGGAGGCTCCACGTACCGAGTCCCCCATGTCTCGCGCACCTCCACCAGCCAGTCGTGCCCCGACAATGGAGCGTACCGACTCAAATGACCGCCCTGCCGGACCTCCACGTATCGCGCTCGCAGGTGGCAAGCCAAACTGGAGAGACCGGGAAGCTGCCAAGAATGCCGGTGGTGAGCCTGCTGCCGCCCCAGCTGCTTCCTCAGGTGGTGATCCTACGTCACGTGGTCGCTCAGGAAGGGGAGAGGAGGAAGTGCCGAACCTGAAGCCCAGTGGCACTGCTGGGAAGTTTGTTCCTCCTCACCTCCGTAACAAGCAATAAGGGAAATGATTGTCTTCATGTAATTAGATATGGCGTTTCATTGGTCGTGCCAGGCTAGCTCTTCGCCTGGAGAAAAATGAAGAATGTGTAAAAGATGTTTTGGCGATGTTTCGTGCCTCTTCTGGTGGTGGCTATGATCTCGGTGACACTTCAACGACTGTTCTGGTTTTGAGGCCTATCGAAAGTCTGATTCTTGACATTTCCTCATCTAATCATGTCCCAAGTCTGTATCCATTCTCACAGCCGACAGAACTTTGTTTTCTTTGTTCCACTCCGTACACTGGATGTCGTCTCTGTCATAGGCCGCTCTGTATTGATGCTAGCTATCACAACCGCTCCTATCGCCTCCAGATTCAAGCCGAAGAGTGCATGAATAGTAGAGAGTAGCTGTAGCCTGTCTGCTGGCTAGACTAGCTGTAAGGAACGGGCCGCTGATGGAGAAGAGAGCGGAAGGGCGATAATGTGATGTGGGGCTCAGAGAGATCGCGTAAAATTCAGAGCACACCCAGCTTGGAAATACAACTGCAAATAGTAGCAAGAGACAGGAGCTGAATACGAAGAATGATATTGCACTGGGAGTCACAGCGTGGGGTAGCTGCAGTGGGCGGGGTCTGAGCGGTACTTGTCTGATCCTTCACCCTGCAGCTGAGGGCTTGGGATGAGTGGATGAATGGATGGATGGAGGAATGGAGGAATAGATGGATGGTACTGTACGACGGCACGGTAATGGTACCGGTACCTTACTTACAGTATGCATGCTTGCTGCATGAAGGACGATCCGCGAAGTTGCAGAGCTCATGGTTCAAAGCTGCAGCCTGCCTGCCGCCGCCGAGGACTCGCACAGAATTGTCATAGATGCCCGAGACCGATATCTGGATATATCGTATGTATGTATGACATGCACCTATGACAGAGAAACAGAGAAGAGCCAAAATTCATCGGGATTGACTTGGCTTGAGTTGCTTGCTAGATAATTCCCGGATAAGATACAGAACAGACTACGGCTGTGTCCGCCCCGTCCGTCACTTTGCATCGTGCAGCGACTAATATATATATATATATACCTATCAATATTGGACCGTCAACCTCGAGTAGTCGTCCAGTCCTGACAATCTTGCACATGTTGGGGCAGGATAGCAATAAATGCGGTGCTACGATGTACTCCGCGCTTTGATATTGGGAAGTTGGTGTTCACTTCAAGTCGGATCCGCGTGGTACGTATCCGTACTTGCATGCTGATCCGGGCTGTGGTTGAGATCAGGCCTTTGGGGCTACAGCCGCTACAGTAAGTAGAAGATCGGACAAAACTATCGACAAGGACCCGCATTTCGTTACAATTGATTTGATATTTAGCGAGGCCCCTTTCCTCCCGGCGTCTCCTTCAGCCCTTCGGAACAGAAAATGCTGCGAATCGGGGGGTCAAACGCTTTCAAGTCTCTATTTGGATTCTCTCCTTCAATGTATTGGAGCTTCCCCAGCCTCACTTTCGCCACTTCGAGCCTAGGACAAGCAGGATGCACCCGCAGAGCGCTCCAATATGACAGGAGGCCTGCTCGGGAGGTAAATCAAAGCTCTGTGGGGCTTGGGGCTCATCAATCTGTTCTATCTTTTTATAGAAGCATTGAAAATCAGAATACCAACTCTTCGGGAGGGAGGGTTTGACAAGTTGTCGTCGCTTGCCGAAGAGAATGGTGCCAACCCGTCCTCCGTTGTTTCCATCAAGCCTGGTAACCACATTATCAAGATCGAGCACCTGGGCGTATCCCCAATAAGTCAGGTTAAGCATCACAATGACAGCTAGCCACTGTGTTTCGCCAGCTCTCGATGGTGAGTCCAGGTCGGAACTGCCCCGAAGTCTCAAGTGTGCTGCCACAACTTTTTATCGGACATCAGCGTCGTCCGAAACGAGTTGTAGGTATGATGCAGGCATTTCTATCTATATAAAATCTTCTTCCCACCTCGTTATCCCATTCTGGCGGTCTTTCTTCAACAGCATCCGCTCTCCTCTCCGTCTCATAAGTTGTTGATCGTCAAGCTCAGTAAACGGGAGTCTTATTTGACATCATGTTGAACCTCAAGGTTTTTACTATGGCTTCTGCAGCTCTCACACTCTTTTCCGGCGCCAGTACCAGTGGTCTATATCCCGTCAAACGTACCCAGGGGCCGGCCCAACCCTCTTGCACCGATTTTACTCCATTCAAATATGCTGGCTGTTTCGCAGACAGTGGCAGTCCGCGAACGCTCTTGTACACGGGCCCCAGGAATCAGAACCAGACCGTTCAGGCCTGCGTCGCCTTCTGCAAAGGTACTTTCCAACTCATTGCGAATCGGGCGTTGCTGATTCTCTCCAGGAAACGATTACCAGTACGCCGGCCTGGAATATGGCAAGGAGGTAAGAAATCGATGAAAACAAACATTATGCTTTTCTGACATCGCTTAGTGCTTCTGCGGCGCCTCTGTCAACAATATTCAAGCTACCGAATCAGATTGTGATTTCAGCTGCGGTGGTGACAGTACGGAGGTTTGTGGAGGACTGAAGCATATTAGCATCTATCAAGATCCAACGTTCCCTGTCGCAGATTTCACGACGATTTCGGACTATCAGAAGCTCGGGTGCTACTCTGAAGGATCTATGGGACGCTCGCTCTCTTGGAGACAGTCTCAGGTTAATGCTTCTACAATGACCGTCGAAAGCTGCCTTACTGCATGTAAGACGGGTGGATACTCGTTTGCTGGTCTCGAATTCGCCCAGGAGTGCTACTGGTATGTGCATTGTTACTCTTGTGGCAATATGCAAGTTTGCATATCGCAACCGTCTGTTCCTGACTCAAACATCGACATGAGGCTGACTCTTTGAAAAGTGGTGTTGTTTTGGGCAATGGAACCCTGCCAGTAGATGACAGCAAATGTAATAAGCCTTGCAGGGGAAATCCTTCCGAGACCTGTGGAGGAAGCAGTGTTCTTGATCTCTATGTTGCCAAGGATCTGGAGTCAACCGAGCCTTGTGAGGGAGGATCTTCATCTTTCTCAAGCTCCTTTCCAACGCCAACACCAAGTTCATCAAGCACTAGTAACACTAGCCTTCCTGAAATTACGACCAGCTCGCTATCGTCTTCGTCCAGCTCTTCCAGCTCGCTCAGTAGCTTCGTTCTAACACAACCGACGACCAGCTCATTTTCATCTTTGTCCGACTCGTCGACTAGCTCGACCCTGCCGCAATCTACGACAACATCATCTTCAAGTTCTTCCTTGGATCCGTCATCGGTCAGCCCAACTAGCTCGACTTTTTCTTCAATTGTTTCGATAAGCTCATCAAGCTCCTCAAGCTTTGCATCTACCTCTTCGACGTCTACTTCTGAGACTTCTACTTCTGAGACTTCTACTTCTGAGACTTCTGCTCCTACGACCTCTACTTCTGAGACCTCTAATTCTGAGACGTCTGCTCCTACGACCTTTACCTCTGAGACCTCTACTTTTGTGATCTCTACTTCTACGACCTCTACTTCTACGACCTCTACTTCTGAGTCGTCTACTTCTGCGACGTCTACTTCCGAGACGTCTACTTGTTCGACCTCTAGTAGTTCTCCATATCCAACAAGCTCATCATCCAGCTCTTTCAACACTGTTAGCTCATCGTCTCAGCCCCCTTCTACAAGGCCTACAACTTCTACCTCCTCATCACAATCTTTAACTTCTACGTCGAAGTTTCCGACTACTTATTCTGTTCCGCCTACTGTAACACCCCCTTGTAAGTCCATTCACGACTTCGAGCCCTTACCATACTAAATCTTTGCCTAGCGTCGACTAAAATTACCGCTTCTCTTTGCACAACAACGTAAGTTCCTATCCTCGTCCAGTAGAAGCATATCTAATTAATGACAGTATCACTTCTTCTCCAACCCCAACCTGCGAGTATAGAGTCGGTAAATGGTGCTCAAACCCTCTTCCAGCCTTCTACGATAAGAGCTCGTGCTGGGCTGCATTCTCATCCTGTACTGTCCAAGCCGCTTCATGTTTCTTGAAGGCTGGATTCCCTGCTAGCATGAACTGCTTCCAATTCTCTAGCTGGTGCACATCTGTCGGTTCCTACTGCAGCAACTACTGCCCAGGCATCAGCTGCTCCAAGGATGGCTGCCGATCCAAATATCCTCCGTCTGGACCTGCTCGGCCATCGTCAATAGTCTCCACCTCGGTTTACACCTGCCCAGCTCCCACAGCCAAGCCCAGTACCACGAGTGCTACGCCAACTTTGACCTCCTATATTCCCATCCCGACCAACTCCAACATTTGCGTCCAGCCAAACAACCCCCGGAAAGGATACAGCTCAGACTCTCCAGTCGGAGGTATCGGCCTCCCGTGCCTGACCTGTAACAATATGCTCTCGGGATTCATGGCCGGCTTCCCCTTCAAGCTCTACACATCTGCCAGGTCTGAAGACTGTCCCTCCTACCCTCGCTACGGCAACAACGGCCCAAGCAAAGGATGCCAGGATGCGTGCGACTCCCAGTACAACAGTTGCGTCGACACCTACGCGCAGGGATGCCGGAACAACAAGCGCGGCGACAATTTCGATACTGCGAACACCAAGTGCAAGAATCAGTGGTATGACTGCCACAGCGCAAACGCGAATGTCAACCCAAACAACAGATGCGGCAGTTGGAACTCGGGTTGGTTCTGATCGGTGTTCTTTGAGAACCCTACCTACAGTCAGGTCATATTCATCCCACAATGGGCTTCACGTTTATCAGATTTTAATTCTTAGTGTCTAGTTCCTCCGGAGTATGTACGAGGCTGCGTATGCCCTTCAGGAGAAGGCATGTAATTAGAAACTTTCAGAATGATTCTCGCGCCACAATCCAATATTACCGATTTTTGGCTCTTGCCGTCACAACTTGGTGACATCCACCCCATCGGGCAGCCAGTGATTTATTAGAGACGACGTTGATCGAGCCAAGTAATTAAGCGAGCTAGCCCCTATCTTACGTACCGAGCAGCGAAACCCAGTGAATGGCTGGCTGTAATGTGCACACAGTAAGTGTACTGCGTAGTTGTACCTAGCTCATAGGTATCAGAGTAGGTAATTAGTTCCACAGCAGCCCAGCCAAAAATCCTCACTTACAAAATCGTTCTGGTGTCATCCTCAACTCGGACCAGATCCCCGAAACCCACGTCAACTCTTTCACCCGCCGCATGACGTATCTCCTATCCTCCTCCAGCGGCGATTCACCGGCCTTGAATACAGCCTGTCGTAGAAATACCGGTAGCTGATGGTTTGTCCCTCCCTTGCTGATCAACTGTCTCGCACAGCTCGAGAGACCAGTACGCCACGTGAGCGTGCTCGAGAGCGCGGATCTCTCTTCTGGGGCTTCCCCCAGATAGCATAGGACGGACCTTCTTCCGCTTAGAGATACGGCTTTCCGAGATGGGATGTCATGGACTGGAACCTTACAACGTCCCGTTGTCATGAGCTTCCAGTTGAGTTTTGCCGGGGGGATTTTTTTTAGGGTGGGGGGGGGGGGGGGTAAAGTTTTAAAGAATGCAGAAGGCAGTCCGATGATTGGTCGCACGGTCTAATCTTTTGTTTAGGTGTATGCACCTTCATGGATGAAGGAACAAAAATTTACATACTACTACTACTATTTCTGGAGTCGTAGTAGTAAATGTAAACTAGGATGGTAAGACCTTCCATAGGCATTGTAGACTTGCTAATGGCTTACTTGGGCAGGCCGAAAGTATCCATCCAGTCTTGGATATTAGCGCTGATCTGATAGGTAGAGTATGGGACGCAACAGCCCTTCCTGGCGCTCTTGCAATACAACCCAGTTTGATCTCGGAATGAGAAAAAGGAGCTCGCTAATACAAGCCTGTGATGGCCAGTCCAGACTAGACTCCATAACATTAGATGCTTCCAAGTTGGATCGTGAGTTCGTTCATCTAACCATGGTCGGTAACATGGGAACCGGAGGAAAGCACTTCTTCATTAATACATCCATCCACCCGGGATGGATGGATTAGCAGATGAAGCTGTTAAAAAGCGACATTGGGATCCTCAAATGTGTACTTCGAGAGCGCCAGTTTCCTCGATCCGGCTTTGCTGGACTTAGTAGAGACTACTACATATCGCCCAGCTGCAACCACTTTTGTAGTCGCTAACTGGAGGAGAGAACGGGAAACAGGATACAAGGCAGGCGTTTATCTATCGAGCAAGCAGTATCAGCGAGAATGGCGATTACGAATCGCGAACACGGTGAGTGTGCCAGAAGGGCCTCGGGAAACTGAATTTGCTGGAGTGGCTGAAAAGGAATGAAGGGGAGGTTAAGCGTATATTATCACTACGGTCTCCGGCCTGATCCTGCCTACTCAGGCCGGTGGATTTTCGTGCGAGGAACTTTGCAACACCATGTGTCGTCGGCTTCCAGCATCCATCCATCCATCCATCCATACATACATACCCTCACATACGAACCATCGTGTAGCTGGACCGAGATATACACAGTGCATATGGTATCTCCGTACACAGCGTTAGGCCTACACCTGGCAGGACTTGCTATACCGTAGTCGAAGCACAAGTACCTAGCCTGGGTACTGACCATGAGCCTTACTGCTCCAGGACACATCAGTGACGAATTTGACCATTCATATCTCAACGTGCATTATCTAGGAAAGAGAGAGCTGCTCGACTTCCGTAGAGATCATCCACATGACCGAGTAACCGGCTGCTGTTCAACATGAGATGGTCCCTTCCTTAGCCCTTGGCAATGCCACAGCTGGGTTCTCAGATTCATTCTCTGGGATGCGAGGAGCTTCTGTTCATCTCTGGTAGAATATGCTTGTCACAGTCACCCAAGGGCTCTTCGAGCTTTAGGTCTAGGTACGGCGATCCAGCTAGGATATCTTTTTCTCCAAGCTTGTTGTCGAAAGGGGGCAGATCTCGCTTGCCATGATTCTCATTATTTGCACGGGGTTTGTCGACCACTTCTAACAGAGAGAGAGAGCGAATATCTGCCGCCTGTTGAATATTCTGGTGCTCCAACCCGCAAAACATGAACTCGGGAAACGATTTCAATTCGGACCCGAGCTAGCTACGTACGTCGAGCAGCTGCCGTATTACGGAGGACTGAACATCGGCACCGACTTCGGTCTAAGCAACTCGCTATGTCCCATGATCGAAATTCCGAACCACGGCAAAGCTAGTAGCAGGCTCTCGTACTGGATAAGCGCGAATCGCGTTCTTCTTCATCATTTCGAAGTGGTTCAAGCGGACTGAGCAAGGCGCTCGCTTGCATTGCCGGCGTATAAAGGAGACCCAATTAGCCGACTTATCTCCAAGGAGTACCCCGTCAAAGAGGTTGATCAGCTGAGTATGATTATCCTGCCCTGAACATATACTGTTCAGGCGAGAGGAGGGTGTGGTGGCTGGCGAGATCAATCCGTCGTGGGAGAGCCAACAAAACACCCTGACCCAAGTCCGAGATTGGGTCGATTCTATCCACGAGTCAGAGAACAGATTAGACAGCCGCACTCAGCCAGCTTCGCCTCCGCGTGGCCGAAGGTTCGGCTTGACCCGTCGCGGACAATTCTGACTCGTTCCTCGTGGCACGCACGCGAATGACTTGGTTTATATCTGAGGCTAGTTTTAATTTGGGAGAACGTTGGCGACCATCACGTTCGTGGCGTCGAATAACCACCTTCTAGACCATTTTAAGTAAGATTGTCTTAAGTCAAATTGAAACGATCTCACACGAGGAGCTTTTGTTGTTAGGGTGATTTCGAGGTTAATGGTAACCTAGTCTCGCCAAACTAGTTGGCTCAGACCGGTCCAGACCACGAGGCTTGATATCTGATTTCCCCTCAACCCACCCCTCCTCCCACAATAATTCGAATGCGGAGCCGAAGACACACAGTTACTGAAAGAAACATGAACCACAAAAGCGTCAATTAAATCTTGTAACATGAGATGCAAGGACCAGACGACCTCAAACGCATGATTTCGGCCGACAAAGACTTGCAGAAAGCGGCAGAACAATCGTCTCAAATCGAGTACATGGTAAAAGCTTGGTAGGTCGGACCAGACCAGAAAATGCGTACCTGACAATGCGTGTCCATCTGGGAAGGCTCCAAGAACACTACAGCATCGCCATGAAGGTCAGGCGACGAAAAGCGGCTCGCTTGCGGCAACGGCAACGGCAACAAAGACAGCTGAACATTCCAGATAAGGACAGGCTGGATAGGTAGAGCTGCAACAACCTACCTTGCGAGAAAGAAACCGATCCATAATAGATAGGCCTTGACAGAAAGGATTCAAAAGGCTTTTTGCGAACCAAGCTTAGGAGGGTGCAAGGTCCACTCTCAGGCTATTGACCCTCGAACGCTCCACTTCTCAAGCAACAGCTTTGACGGGCGCTCGGTCGTACGAAATTCCGCCTTGTTGGGAAAAATGCTGTTTCTTTGACGTTGTAGCTTTGGCAGACAGGACGCGGGGAAGGTGATGCGGAGACTTAGAATGTTTTTGGGGTCATTAGAGGCGGTATAGCAGAGTCTTGCTCGGCTGGTCTTCCTTGGCGGGTGGTTGGTTGACTTGTCAATTGGGCAAACGCCAACACTCTCTTCAATTGAGGACCGAAGGAGAACAGGACGACCAGACCTCTTGCTTGATGTGTGATTTCCTGGTCAATTCAATATCCCATGTCCTAGTAGATGACTGATATACTACTACCTACTACGTACTTTGCACTGTGCCCTTTGAACCCTCTTTGTCTAATAGCCGAGGCGATGCAAGCACAGACGGACACGGACGGCATCAAAGAGTCTAAGATGTAATATCATCAAGTATTATAAGGTTAAAGACAGCGTTCTCGACCACTGCAGGTTGTTCGACATCTACAAATTCACACGTCAAAGTACCTTCTTACATGCATTCGGATGCAAGGACATAGGGAAATGGCCACCCGTAGACTGGATCTCGACCTCTGTGCGGTCCGAGAGATTCAAGGTCGAATTTGCCGCTGACTACCCATCATTTGGCTTTCTTCGCAGCTGCTCATGCTCGTCCTCGGTGGTATCCAGGGTGACTCTAGCCAGAGACAGCATTCTCATCGTCGCACCGACATAGACAAAGCCGACATTTCCCCAGTTCAACGGCTTCCACTTCAACGCATTTCAATGTATGTCCGCACCCAAACCGCGAACACTGTGCAGCCATCCGAAGTCTCTCTTAGCAACAGCGCAAACAGCTTCGTTCCGCAGACCCAAAGATCGGATGTAGAACGTAGGACGAGGGCTTCGTTGATGGCGAGGAGGAGGTAGAGGGTTTGTTTTGCGAGTTGTGAGAGGAAGACGGAGGTAAAGAGCGGTATAGTGCTCTCTCAAGAATAGGTACACACGATGTGGCTGATTACAGAGTAAGCGATACCCCAAACATCGATGCACGTAGTACGTAGTATAACGATAAATTAATTGTTCCTATTTTTATTGTTCCTTACAACCAATACTCAACCGGCCGTTTTGACATGAAACGCCTGACCCCTGAAGCCGTTCCTGGATCGTCAGCTGGGATCGTGAAGATTTTCATTTGGGATTCATGCATGCACAGGAGCAGAGTCCGCACCGTATAGAACGTACTCTGAACTCCCCAATGCGCTGAAGATACGCATGTCTTGGATAGGTACAGTAATAAAACCGGTAAATGTAGGTTATCAAAAACTTACTCGTGCGCTGGTTGTGCCGAGAAGAGAAGATGCGGTGAGAATACGGCGATTCAAGCACGTACAGTAGTAAGAAAGGTAAAGAGAGACTATTTACTACGGAGGTCGGTAGTAGTAGCTAGTAGTAGGTAGTTGTAAGTAGTTGGAAGTAGCTGTAAGTAGTTGGAAGTAGTTGGAACAGGTAGTTGTAGAAGATCAGACCGTCTCGCCTCGGTCCGGGGATGCGGCCTAGCAAGGATGGTTCGGAGAACGGAGAAGCCCCACTGCCCCGCTACAACCCCCACTAGGCTCACCCTGTCCCTTCCCCCCCTGTCCCCTGTCTTACCCATCCCTTCGCATAATAAACATCGAGACGATCTCTCTTTACTCTCGACCCCCTTCGCGCATATACACCCACCACCTACCCACCTACCCAACCACACTCATTCTCTCATGAACACCCAAACCCACATTCCTTTACCATGTCCTGCTATTAACGACGACGACGCTGACGACTCTGAACGACACAATCAACGGCCTCACAAAACATCTCTGCTACCTACCTACCTACCTACCTACCTACCTACCTACCTACCTACCCACCTCCCCATTCATACAGGACACCACGACCGACCGATCCAAGCCTCCTTCCTCCTATGCACCCGTCTGCTGCACCTTTCATCCTTGATCTGGGCCCCGAGAACCACAGCTCGCCCCCACAATGAGCCGCAGCCGCCGTTCCTACTACGAAGACTGGTACTCGAGCCAGGAATTCCACACCTCTGTCAGTCCTTCCGCCACGCCATACGAAACTTCTAGCAATGGGAGTACAAACAGCTCTAGGCCGCTACCCTCTAGGAAACGGTTACAGACGCTACCTCTGACAGGGCAAGACTTGGAAGGGCCCGGACGCATAAACACCACGCTCGGCAGTAGCAAAAATACTTCGGTGCAGGACCACGGGAGAAGACTCGGGGGAGGGATCATTGAGCTGCTCCGTAAAGCATCGATTTCGGTCAAAACCCGCCAGCGGCGGCACTCGCATGTGGCACCACTGCAGGAAGTTCCTCAGAACGAGAGCCCGTGGCGACGGTTAAAGACGGCCACGAGTTTCAATAGACATTCGAAAGTCTTCTTGGGAACTCAAACTCGCGCATCCGAAAATTCGATAGTTTTGTCTCGACGTTCAGTTGGCAATCTAGAGAATATGTTACCGATCCCTGGGAATGGAAATGAGCCTCCTCGGATACCTCGTCATTCCGGAGGAGAGTCGGCCAAGATCGCGGCGAGAATACATAACGACCTCGAACTGAGCAGACATCGCCTTTCTCCTTTCGATGCATTGGGAGATCGTGAAAGTGGCATTGAAATGGCAATTACACAGTTTGAGGAAGACGCTCAGCAAAACATCCCAAAAATAAATTCTATGGTCGGCGTTGACTTCATCAAATATCTACCAAGAGAAATAGCATTCCAAATACTAGCCCTCTTGGACTCGAACGACCTTTTTGCTGTACTCAGAGTCTCCAAAGAATGGAATTCCTTAGCTCTTGAGAAATCTGTTTGGCGACAAATTTTCCTTAGAGACCAGACTCGATCTTTTGCAACTGGCAAGCCGATACCCCAAGGGAAGGGTCTCGGGTTACCGGCCCATAATCCTGCTGACGATTGGAAAGACATGTATCGAGTCAGACAACAACTTAGTACCAATTGGAAGAATGGAAAGTGCGATACATTCTACCTCAACGGACATGGAGATAGCATCTACTGTGTCCAATTTGATGAGTAGGTGTTGAATCCTCTTTCAGAGGCAGTTAACTGATGCATGTCGTTTAGGAACAAGATAATCACAGGCTCACGGGATAAGACTATCCGCATATGGGACATGAGAACTCTCGCCTGCACCCTCGTCATCGGACCCCCAGACGTTATCAATGATCCAAGCCTGAGGGTTGATGACAACAACCATGCAGTCCATTACGCGACATGGCCGAATCCCGATAATTCAGGGCAATTTATACGAGGCCATGACAGTCATCCAGCGATCATATCGTATCCCATGTGCCACATTCAGTCCATCTTGTGTCTCCAGTACGACGAGGAAATCCTTGTGACAGGATCTTCAGATAGTACAGTTATCATCCACGATATGAAGAGTCAGATGAAAGCGGAGTGTAATTTTCAGCCGTTAAGACCAATCAGGAAGCTCCAGTACCACACAGCAGCAGTCCTCGACCTGACTTTTGATGAGCGGTACATCGTCACTTGCTCCAAGGACCTCACTATCTGTGTCTCGGACCGGGTGACAGGAAGCTGTCTCAAACAACTTTCAGGGCATTCAGGGCCAGTAAACGCAGTTCAATTGCGAGGAAACACGATTGTTAGCTGCAGCGGAGATTTCCTCGTCAAGATGTGGGACATAACCAATTTCTCCATCATCCAAGATCTCAGAGCACATACCAAAGGTTTGGCTTGCAGCCAGTTCTCCGAAGACTCCAAGTACATCGCTTCTGCAGGAAACGACAAGAGCATCCGTATCTGGAACGCCAATACCTACGACTGCATCCACAACATTGAGAACGCTCATGCAGCCTTGGTCCGGTCTCTACACATCGATTCCATCAGCGGTAGACTGATCTCGGGAAGCTATGATTCGAGCATCAAGGTCTTCGATATGGCAACCGGACAAGAGGTCGTATTTTTCCCCGAGTGGCATGCGAGCTGGGTCCTGGGGGCCAAGTCAGACTACCGACACATTGTCAGCACAGGACAAGAACCGAAGATCATGATCCAGGATTTCGGTAGGGGTATCGAAGGCATTGACCGATTGCGAAGTTTGGGGCCTCAGTGAAACACATCGCATAGGTGTACAACCCTGGAGTCTGAGCATGGATTTACAATTACTATGATATGGATGTTGAAGCATTTGCACGGCTTGCCATGAATTCAGGACAAACAACATACCCATATGTTCTCTAGGAGGGTAGAGACAATTGGCAACGTAGCTAGGTGTTGTCAAGCATGAATTGCAATAGGGCGGCATTGGGTTTCGTCATGCATGGCTATGCAGACCGGTCATAATATTAATTAGAAAAGCAGACTGGTAGAACATTGGGTCTCGTGGCCTGGTGAGGAAAACCATACTTAATAATTAACAAAGCGTAACAATGCCTCACCTCCGCTACGTGCATGGGTAAATAAACAATCGAGGCGAAAATGGTGGGCCACCTCGCAATGAAAGGACCTGCGGAAATCACTGTTAAGAAAGCGTCGTCGAGGCGAATAGCCAATATCGAGGAGGAACATCCCGAGCATTAAGATCTCGCGACGATGCCTGCGAGCAAATTAATCGACCATGAAATTGCATCGAAACTCAGAACAAGATGCACCGGGAGAATCGCTTCGCAGGAGAAGACTTGATAGCTCCGTATGGTTGTTGATGTTACTATGCTGATAGTTTAGTCGATGCATCTTGAAATATATCCAATCTCGAGTGTATCATAATTTTTTACAATATCAGATATTTTGCAGATTTAAGACTGCTTGCTTGTTTCGACGAGTTGTTGGACAGGAGAAAAGAAAGCAGTCGAGAGAGAACCTCGCTTAACCCTAGCCCCGCGCTAACCTAGCGTCCATATCCCACACAATACCATAAACCAAATTTTCCTTCGTTAACAACCCATTCCAATTTCACGACAACCCAACCATGAGTTCCATCAACAAGATCGCGGCGAACAGCGCATCGCGCGCAAAGCCTTCTGAGCTTGAGACTCAGATCGCCACCGCTCTCTACGACCTCGAGACAGGTACCCCGGACCTCAAGGCAGCTCTCCGTCCTCTCCAGATCGTCTCTGCCAAAGAGGTAAGCTATTAACAATTCCTGCAGCCAAACAGATTCCCAGCTTTTCTACGATCGAAACGACGACGCGGGCGCCGCTGGCAGACATACATACATGCGGTAATGCCAAACATACTTGAGATACAGAATGGATGGGGTACCTACAATGCGTTGTGCTATGGTTGTCGGCGAGCTGCTCTGTCTCTCTCTCACGAGGGATGGCAGAGAGTCACCCAAGTTGTGGAATCGGAGTCGGACGGGCTGCGGACCATTGTTTCATAACATGGAGATCGCACGCTGACTTTGATCTTTAACAGGTTGAAGTTGGCCACGGCAAGAAGGCTATTGTCATCTTTGTCCCCGTCCCATCCCTCCTGGGCTTCCACCGCGTGCAGCAACGGTACGTCCTTCCCCCTCTTCTCCGTGGGCCATTGACCAGAAACACTGACAAGCCCAGTCTCACCCGTGAGCTCGAGAAGAAGTTTTCCGATCGCCACGTCCTGTTCCTCGCCTCGCGCCGCATCCTCCCCCGCCCCAAGCGCTCCAACCGCTCGCGCACCTCGCAGACACAGAAGCGTCCTCGCTCCCGAACTCTGACCGCCGTTCACGATGCCATTCTCACCGACCTCGTGTTCCCTGTTGAAATCACCGCTAAGCGCGTCCGCACCAAGGAAGATGGCAGCAAGGTCCTGAAGGTCGTCCTCGACGAGAAGGAGAAGGGAGGCGTTGATCACAGACTCGACACCTACTCCGAGGTCTACAGAAAATTGACCGGACGCAGCGTGGGTTTCGAGTTCCCGCAGTCTGGCCCAACTGAGTACTAGGTGTGTGCTCCGGGAGGAATAGGAACCGTGTTGTGGGTTCGAGGGTAGAAAAAGTCCTGAAGTGACATGGGATGCGTTTGCTCTGGTTGGGAGGCGTAGCTAGGCTTTTCGATGAACAGGCTTGCGGAAATTCAAGGCTTGCTTGCCACTACCAAATTCGAACCTTTACAACATTGTGCATAACTTACGGGTGCAGAAACTGATCGATGTAGAAACAGCAAATGGGTATATTGCGCCAGACCATACATCTAGCTAATTTTTGTCGACCTTCCCAACCCCAAGCACACACCAATAAGCCAGTTCCCTCTTCTCTCTCGCATCCTTGTCCTTACCCAGTCCTGCGCCCTCCTCGTGGGCAGCATCAGTCTCGTATTCGACCCTCACAAATACCGGAATCTCCACAACATCCTCATCCTCCCTCAGCAGGCCATCATCGTCCTCAATCTCCTCATTTTTCGGGGATTTCGGGCCCTCGAGACGTAGCGACGCAGGCACAACTTCCAAAACAACACTTGTCCAGTTCCTTCCTCGCTCCCAGACCTTGCCGGCTTCGGCTTGGTGCTGCCCCTCGCTGGCTTCGGCTTTCGTGCGCCGTTTCTCCCCGGCGGAGTTCCTGTTACCGCCTTCGCGCAGGGCCTCTTCCCAGGCATCCGTATTGGCGCCGACTTCGAATTGCGGACACAGGACAGTGACTTTGGTGCCGAAGCGACCGGGCGTCTTTGCTGGTGTGGCTAATGTAATCTTCACCCTGTCGAAGAGCGGATTCTTGAATGTGAGGAGGAATTGGACCGGTCTGAGGGGCGTGAGGGTTGTGGCGTGTGTTGTCTGCAGGGGCCTGATGTTGATGGTGGGCATGTAGTTCAGAGCCACAAGGCGGATTCGGAAGCGCGTGGTTTGGATCTTGGATTCGGGTTTAGACAGGATGTGGCGGCAGGTTTTGCAGCGCTTGGAACGCTTGGTGCGGAGTAGATAGGCAATCGGGCGCAGGTCTGTGAGAAGCTGGGCGTCGTTGTTGGGCAGCTCTCTTCTCTGGGCGGATGTCGATGTGCTGTGCCAGCCTTCAGCATGTAGCTTTGCAATAGCCTCTTCATCCAACGTCGACGTGAGCTGGAGTCCCTCCACAGCATCCCGCGCCTCCCTCATAGTCCCAACTTTCCTCTTGGACTTCGTATCTACCACACTTCCACCAGTGTACATGCCCATGATCCTCGTCAGCGTCCCAGGAGAGCCATACCCGTAATCCCCCATAACCCCCAACGGGGTCCCCGGACTCGAGTCTGCAATCTGCTTCGAGTAGAATGCCTTCAGATTCGAGAACTGACTCGCCGCATCCAGCCTCTCATTGGGATCCAGTGGCCGAGTCGTCTCTTGCTCAGGACTGTCATCCGAAGTAGGCAAAGCCGAGAACTCCCTCTTCTCGCGATCCTTGCGTCGCTCCTTCGCCGTCACCATTGGCTCCCCGCCGTTTTTGATCTTCGCGAGCTGGGCGAAGATCCCGTTCGGCTTGTCGAATTTTATGCCTATCTCCTGGGAGCTCCAGGTGCAGTGTGCGCAGTTGAGAACGAAGGGGCCGTTTTGAGAGGCGTGGTCGGCGCCGAGGCCTTCGGGTGGTGGTTCGACGCTGCTGACTGACAGAGGAGATACGCAGATAGGGCATTGGAAGCAGCTGCGAGTGCATCTGTATGTATTATCATTAGCTGCCTGTACAAAACTGTATGGGTTGGCATGAAAGAGGGGGTGGGAATGTACCGATTTCCCTCGCTCTTCACAGTACTGCTCGGCACCTCGAATAGACAGTTCGGGCAGAAGAACGTCACGATCTCGTCGAGCACACATCGGGGACATCTTATCTGATGGCAGTCTTCGCAGTAGAGCAAGTGTTCGAGGGGGTATAGGCTGTAGTTTGCGCGGGGGGCTCGCGGGTCGAATGTTCGGTCGTCGTCCTCGGAGTCTTCTTCTTCTGACTTAGGGCTTTCTGGTCCTAAATTACGGGTTGGTACCGAGTTGTCTGTGCAAGGACACTGGAAATAGGTGTAGGGTGCGAAGGAAGACATTGTTGGGGATAAAGCATTGGCGGTAAAGTTGAGTTTTGCGAGAGGGTGTGGAGGGAGACGCGTTGAAGACAAGGGGCTCGACGTGTTTCGGAAACTTTACTGACATGTGTTTCTCAAATGCCACAGAATCTTCCAACTGGATAAGTAAGTACTCGGTTTTGATATCGAGTTGCTAAGGTACTTGTTACAATCACCTATAATTTGATGTTATGCAAAAGCAGACCTGCAATGCACATCGCAGTATCATAATCCTATTTACTGCACGACACTTGATTATGCAGCTCTATTCACAATCCATTAAAGTATTTCAGCGACGACTCATACATTATTATAGTCACACGATTTTCAAAACCAGTTAATAAAACAGCGCTATCCGCTAATTCTACTAGTGAATCCAGTATCAAAGGGCGTAATCATGGGTATCGTCAAAATCAACCCCCACCCCCTCCCACTCCCGTGTATCGTCGACAGTTCTTCGTGCGACAAGAGTCTTCGAAGCGGCTCCCACGAATGCACGTAATTAACCAACTCATCATTTACCTTTTCAAGCTTGATCCTTTCCCGCAAGTCAACCTCACCGGAAAAATTTATACAAAAAACTCGCTGTTCTTCAACTTCAGGGGACTGGGCTGCAGCAAATCTTCGTCGTATATGCTACTCAGCCTCCTCAACAAACCCAGAACACTGATCGGAGTGTCAAGGAAGTTCTTGATCGACTTCCTCGAGATCCCGATGTTAGGATCTGAGCCTCGAAGACTGTTAGATGGACTTGTCCCCGGGCTGTCGTTAGCGCATCTAGAATCGTTCGACCATCGTGAAAAGGTATCGTTCTCGGACGAGTATCCTGATTCAGAGGAGTTCTTGCGGCGGTGCTCTTCCGAAACGGTAGCTGCGCGCGCAGCATTGATACTCACGCTACTCGTGTGTGTACTGGCGAGAGTGTTGTTACCGTATACATGAACGAGTGTTTCGTGGTACAAAGCTCGTTGGGGATTAGTAGGATAGAGCTCTGGCATGTTTCCTAGCGTGCCGAGTGCTGTTTGGATAGTACCCTTGCTTGACGAGCTCATAGGGGAGGAGCAGGCGCTGTTCTGTCTAGCGTGTGTGATGGCGAAGCAGTCAATATCAGGCTTGACTTCTGATAGAGTGGGTGCAATGCGCTCAGTCGGAGACTGCTTTATTACAGCCTTAAAGTCTACCTTCGTCTGGATGGCCTGTGAACGGAAAGATGCCTCATGAGGATGCACCTTCCATGGTGGGCATCCTGCAGTGATCACACAGATGTTGTAAGGCACGTTGTGCGTATCGCGGACCTCTCTAGGCGCGAGTGTTGCAGACAGAAGAGTCTGCAAGATGGAGTAGATCAGAATCCAGCGGACTTTCCGTGCATCTGTTTGAGAAAGCTTCTCGTTCCTGTCTCCTTTCGTAGGGTAGAAAACACAATGTTCTTCGAAACCCTTATAGGCTCGGACGAGCGTGCAATCGAGAACAGCTTGATCTTGTCCGTTAGTGGCTATGACGAGATGGGCAAGTGTGACAAGTCTCGGATTAGACTTCATCTTGTCTCCCCTGGCAGCGATGGTGTAACGTCTTTTCAGTGGAGGGCCTGATTTGTCTCCCGATTTGGGAAGGAGAGGCAATGGATAGTCTAGCGGCTGATACTTATTGCGCTGGTCAAAAGCTTGAACACTCTGTAGCACACAGACCCCTCCTCGTTGAATAAGCGTAATAGAGTCTGCAGGTCTCCGTGACTTATCTACGAGATATTCGTACAAATTTTGGAATTCGGTGCACATCTGAGCATAGATGTGTTTTGGAAAGGAAGTCCGACCATATTCGCAGGCCGGGGGATAGCATCCCAACTTTTCTTTGTGGTAAGAATGGAGAAAGGATCTGAATTTATTGAGATGGGCTCGAGCAGCAGAGGAGAATCCCAGATGGGCATCGGACAACTCATCCCAAAGGAAAGAGCTGAGTCTTGTTCCGTATTGGTCAAGCCGGGCGTCCATTTCGAAACGGGATCGGGTGATAAGGGCACGTGTCTTTCTGGCCATGAACTTGAGAAGATCCAGGTCAGCAAGTCTTCTTTTCAAGGAGTATCGGAGGAGACTTGTTCTAGCACACCTCAAATCCAGGACTGATAATCAGTTTCTCATGCATGCCAGCGCAGTGCGCAAAAGCATCTAACCACAAGTCCCTGAGCCTAAACTGCTCAGCGAGATAGATGACTCCAAGAGCATGGTCGGGCGTGTTGCGCATATCTGAGTAGCCCTCTTCGTTCATGTAGTCGATTATGCCCTGTGTATTGTCTTCTCCTGTAGACCTGAATTGGTTCATGCTGTTCAAGAGTCCAACAAGAGCTCCACCGAGGTGGACCCCAACCAAAAACCTTCGAAAGATCCAAGCGAAGAAATTGCGTGTCGCAGTGTGGTACAGGAAAGCCTCTTCACGGTCGACATATGGAGGAGCTGGAATATAAAGCTCGTATACCCTGTCTCTGTCTTGGTTGGAACATATGACATTGCTTGTCTTGGAGCTTGGTGACCCTTGTAGAGTGCCTGCCAGAAAACGGTCGAGCAAAGGCTGACACTTTGCTTGGAGAAGAGCATCCATTGGGATCTTAAAAGCCGGGCCTCTCCTCGATTGACCCCTTTCGTATAGGTAAACGAGACAGTTCCCATCTTCGTACCATAAGTCAGGATCCTGGACCTGTGAATCAGTCACCAGCTTCGCGGGATTGCCATGCTGAGAAACTCACCCTTCTCAAACCATCCCAATCAGTTGATCGTCCCGCAGCACCATCCCATTTTCTTAAATTCATCTCTATTGATGGCTCTCCAAGTGCATGTGTGGTTGTCAAATTTCTTTCTAATATCTCGCAGGTATTCTCTTATAAGATGTAAAGTCCTTGGACCTGGCACATTTAGAACTCGCAGTCCGGTTCTTTGGAGTTCGACGTAATGAGGTAATTTTAGATTTTGGGATTGCCGTCGATAGTTCCAAGGAAATTCAAATCTTCAAATTGACGGGCAGATAGTATCTCTCGGTCGAGCGCCACTTTCGATAGAGTTTGTGCGTCGGTACGATGTCAAGGCGAGCTGCCAGGTGTCGATCTGGGGTCCTAGCGAGCTGGGGGATCGTTCGGCCAATACAACTTTAAAAATCGGGATTAGTTCTGAGGTTGAAGGAAGCCGTATAAGTTAAAGTGTGGAGCGAGTGAGGGTTTGGAGCTCATATAGTAGTACAACATACAACTATAAACATGTGCGGAAATGTCTCGGTCTGGTACTAAGCCGTCACGACAACACCCTGCGATCCAGCTATCGATAGCAGGAATGTGCAGCTGGTTTACAAGGGGTTAAAAACACGCACACTACAGCTAGACCTCTCTCAGGGTCCGATGGTCCGGTTCCAAGAAGCGGTGGCTTGAGCTGAAATTAGCAGCCAGAACCCCCACCTCGAAAGGGCCTAGGTAGATCCGACCAGAATAAGACGTGCCACATCACTTGCGGTTGGCAATTGGTTCCGTCTGCCAGAGCTGGGTTGGTATCAGTTCAGTGATAGCTCTTGAGTTCTGTTGCGAAGTAGTCTGGAGTCGTCAATCTTGATTATTCGCTAAATTGTTTTCTTTCCCCCCGTATACACAAGGGTTCATTATTCGGCAATCTTACTGAACCAAATAATCTGTGCGAGAAAACCAACTACTTCGTCGGTCAGCAGAGAACAGGAAACACATGGAAACAGAAAAAGATCATAGAGCCTCAAGCACGGCCTCGGGGAACGAGGCAGTCGAGGCGGTTGCTAGTGAGATACCCAAGAGTTCTTGGCCGTGCTTGCAGATCCGCTCGTTATTGGCTCCGGCAAGTATAACTCAAATCTCCGACCCAACGAGGAACGTGACCATGTGCGGTTCTGGTAGACAGGGTGGTGGGCTCTCGGGCTGCAGATATTCCGGAGTAGTGGATGGTGTTACCGAGTACATGTTCAGGTGGCCCTGGTCTGGTTCGAGGAACCGCTTCAACGCCAACGGCAGCCACCAGAAGGACCGAGTACTTGGCGGAGATGCCTTTGACCGCGATTGGAGAGTCGAGAGCCAGAAGGTATCCTTCGGCTACCCAGAAATGGCTCTCCAATAGTTCCAGCTCGCCGCTTTTGTCCTTCGGGGTTCCCATGCGATATTAAGCGGTATTTTATCTACTACGGAGCCAAAAGGCAGTGAGTGCTAGGTCCGGATGAAGGCACCCAGTCGCGGGGAGGAGCGTATATTGTGATTATCAGCTCAAAAGCGAGAAGCCCAGCCGCATTTTGGGACACATTCGTCAATGGCGAACGGCCACTCTCAGATACCGTTTTCCCGCACAGAATCGGGATCTAGAGTGTCACTGGGGACTGTTAGAGGACATCTTTCTGAATGTTGGAAGGGCTTCTTAAAGAAAACTGCGCCTCCTCGTATAAGTCCTAGAGGTCAATTATCTGATCTTTTTCCCCATCATTTTTGCTGTAAATTAAAGCCGAGTACTCCGCCGACATGTGCTATTTCTGTGGCCGTTGTTAACAGCCGTGAGCTTGCTGCATAGCATATGACCTGAAATAGTTACCCTCAGCTTGAATACCTAGATTGCCCACATACCAGTCTATGAAGACTTCAACTCTGTTCATCAAGAGTTGGTGTCGCTGTCGACGCGGCTACAGTTCAACAAGCACATGCTCTCTATGTCCGAAAGCTGCATTTCAGTGTTGCCACCGCTTCGACTTATACCCTCCCTAACTGACCAAGAGCGACTTCCTGAAAGACCGTAGGATTCTTGGGAATGTCAACTTTTCAATCGGCAGAGGTGGATTTGGTAAGTATAATTGGTGATTATAGTGGACAATGTCCTGGTAAGCCTCAATCGACACTCAGCAGGCACACAATTTTGAGACATCTTCTTTCACATTCAATGCCAAAGAGACTAGACATCAGCTATGCGTCTCTGAACGCTAAACACGGCACTGAATAGCCTCCAGTCTCAATAAATACGGATAGTGTTATAGCTTTCCGTTATTTTGTATTCTTGGGACCGGGACCTGCTAATACGGCAGCGATCGGATCATCGAGAGGCGTTGATTGTCCGCGGGGAGGAAGGTATTTGGGGAGGGGGACTGAATAATGTGGTGGCCTTGAATCGTGGAGTAGAGAGCAGGAGATGGAACACGCGGTAGGAGTACTGAGTCCCTTAGATGAGGAGCGTTGAATATCAGGTGCGATCCTACATCGCTTAACGATGGATGGAACTTTGAAAGATGTGCCTTACGCAAGGTTGGGCTGAGTCGTGGCCGCGGGAGAGAGACTCCGTGTATCTTGTGTTCGGCTTGCTCTCGAACAGTAGCTATCTGGCCATGATCTCCGAAATGGGCAAATCCAAAGGGCCTTGCCTGGCATCTGAAGTATATGGTTGGCTTGCTATCCTGGTAAGGCCGGTGAAGGGGGCGGGATGTCTTCGTTCTTATAAGAGCGACAGGAAAAAGTAAGGTAGTCGTCAAAAGATCGGAAGGGAACATTGATATTGTAATCATAGTCTCAAAATCAATTGCTTATTAATCTAGGTTCCCGGGGGCGGTTAAAAGCTCCGGGACGGCCACAGGACGGTCTCAAAACGATCCCAAAACGCTCGGGGAAGGGTCCTAGGACGGTCTTTTAGAGAAAAGGCGCGCACTTATAAACGACGATTTTAATCGATTGAAACTACTCCATTTCAGCAATAGTTTAAGTTTTTAACATGATCTATTTATAGGTTTGATTCCAATTCAGCTATAGATAGACCTAGGCTGATCCACCAGCCGTGCTACCGGTAATCTCCTGGGACCGTCCCCAAAAGAGATCGTTATCGGATGATCAGCTGACCGCTTAAACAAACTCCTACCGGTACCTGTCTTTAAGGTACCAGTAGGTGGTCCTCCTTACATCCTTTCTTAAGACTGATAAGTACGGCCGCAAAGAAAAGGTCCTTCCCCTTTTTCCTAGTATCAATCAGCTTCGTATTAGTCAAGTTTTTAGTATTCCTGCGTGGCTTAAGCTCTGACGGATGCACCCAACCAGCAAAGGTTCCTTACAGTCACGTTCTCGTAAAAACGTGACTTATAACTTTTCAGGTCTCAGCCATGATCCACAAAACGCTTAATATATAATGTAGAATATAATTATAGATACCCGTCCTCTTTATGCCGTGAGACCTGCACTTGCAAACATGCTGCCTCCCCAGTGCAATGGGGAGACATCATCGATAGCCAGCGAGGCAACAGAAGAAAGCAATGCGACCCTCTTCTGGGGATCAGATCTTTGACCTTTTGACCCAAACTCAGATCTAGAACCACTGCATCGATAAAGATAAGGAAGGTTATAAATGTAACCTCGGGCAGAATGTGCTACTAATCATTTCCGTAAGGGAGACTTTCCAAATAAGACTTTCCCCAGACTGCTTGGTAGCTCACCCATCTCGGAAACAAGTTTATCCGATAAGTACAGTACCGGTACCTCGCCCAGTCCAGTGACTACCTAGGTACGGATAACTGCTAACCCTCCTGGCCGGCCCTCTCTATCTACCTGTCTTATAACCACCTTACCATCTGTGACTGATCGAACCAGACCGTGTACCTTATACTTGCATTGCACTGTACACTCTTGTAATCATACGTGTCGACACTGCGTTCCTTCTTCTCTTCCAGCTCCCGATGCGACCAACCCCTCTCCCGGCCTGCGACCTTCCACCTCACCCCTAGCCGTGTCCGTTGGGACGCCGGCATTTCCAATTCGAAGGTGAATGGAAAATACGATGGCCCCATTGCCTTCTACTCCTCCTCCTCGCCGACCTGCATCTAGCAGGATACGTACTCGACCGCGATCAGCAGGCGCAATCCACTCTGACAAATCCACCCCTGCAAACACTACCTCTGAACCTCCTCGCAAAAAGACTCGCTACATACCAGGTGGCCCAGGAGGCGGTGGCAGATACATCGACGACAACGGTAACGAGCTACCAGTTGGAGGGACAGGCCCAGGAGGATATAATTACGTCGGTCCGCGCGGGCCAGTTGGGCGGGAAAACGCTGCTATGGGCTTGGTGCCTCAAGTTTACAGCCGTCGAGACAGAAGCACACGAACGCGAACCGTCCTACCACGATCGCAACAGCCCCCCATGAGGTTCACATCTGCAGCTCAGGCTGCCGCAGTAGTACAGAGTGATGGATACAAACCGCGAGAAGAGCGCGCCTGGGAAGAATTCCACCCAAATCTCGAGATTGACGCCCCTCTACGTGCTTTTAGTGCCCAGGAGGTTGATGGCATGTTAGATTCGAGGCCTGTCACAACTGGCAACGGCGAAGGAACCGTTAACGGAGTGCGTACTCCTAACGGCATACTCGGCTCCAAGGGGAAGAGTGACGGATTTCCCACACCAATAGGCACATTCAATGGAGAGCCTGTGACTATCAGCATACCGGGGACGCCTGGTGGAGGTAAGAGAAGGCCAGGAAGACCTCCCAAGGATCCTGTTGCGTTTTTCACTGCCAAAGCAATGAGAGAATTTGGCGCCAATGTCGTTATAGCCACTGGCATTGGTGGTACCCCGAGAACACCGAAGGTCATGCCACCAGTAATAAACATCAACGCGAAGGAACGCCTAACTCTGCCGCAGCCTTCATACCGGAAAACGGACACGCTCGCACGGTTCGAAGACAAGGCTCTGGGACTAGTTCGATATGTAGACAAGTCTATGGCCAATGTTGGGTACCAGGAGAGTGACATATTTGTCCGTCCTGAACGTACCCTGATCAAGGTCTCTGATGGAAATCTTGATGACGATCTCGATCTTGGACCCGGAAATAAAACGGACCTGGAAGCCACAGTTGCTGTCGGGGGCAGTAGTTTGGGACGCGTTGAGTACGACATGGATGAACAGGATGACAAGTGGTTGGAAGCATATAACGCTGAACGCAAAGGATCCAACCTCGAGCTGATTACCCGAGAAGTCTTTGAAATTACCATCACAAAGATCGAAAAAGAATGGCACGCACTTGAGAGACGCATCCCGAAGCCAAATCCCAAACCACCGCAAACTCATCGGCCTAGGTCAAGTTCTGCTGCAGCTGTGAACGGCGAGCCACAAGCCGGGGAAGAACAAGACAGCAAATGTGCTATCTGTGACGATGGAGATTGCGAGAACACGAATGCTATCGTATTTTGCGATGGGTGTGATCTGGCGGTACATCAGGAGTGTTATGGTGTGCCATTCATTCCCGAAGGACAGTGGTTATGCCGTAAATGTCAATTGATTGGCCGTGGCATCCCGGTATGTTTATCCCCATCTTAATAGTTGCTCCAAAACTGATGGTGAAGCTAGACATGTATATTCTGTCCGAATACGGAGGGTGCTTTCAAACAGACAAACGCCTCGAAATGGGCACATCTTCTCTGCGCGATGTGGATTCCCGAAGTCTCACTTGGAAACCATACTTTCATGGAGCCGGTCATGGAAGTCGAAAAGGTTCCTAAGACTCGATGGAGGTTGAGCTGCTATCTCTGCAACCAACGCATGGGTGCCTGTATTCAATGCGGAAACAAGTCGTGCTACCAGGCCTTCCATGTGACGTGCGCACGAAGAGCTCACTTATTTCTCAAGATGAAAAACAACCAAGGCACGCTTGCAGTGCTTGATGGCACTACGGTGCTAAAAGCTTTTTGCGACAAGCATTGTCCTTCGGATTACGCGAAAGAAAATGAAGTCGCCCTAGCTACTCGAGATGCCAAAGCATTCTACAAGAGGACAATGCGTGGTCGTCTCTGGGCTGATAGCCAAGCATCCGCCTTAACAATGGCGGCAACACATCAACATGCTGTTACCGAGCACCAGCCCGGCGAATCGCAGCTCACCGGAATCAAGGTTGCATTGACAATGGGCGAAAGCAAGAAGAAAGGCAACCAACCCCAAAAGCCGGTCTGGAAGCTCCCATCCGGCGCCCCAGTCATTCCGAAATACTGTTTTGAAAACGTGGTACACTCACTTGGACGCTTCACCATCCAGAAACGCAAAGAATACGCGGCAGATGCTTGTCGATACTGGACTCTTAAAAGAGAAGCGCGGAGGGGAGCAGCCTTACTCAAGCGATTGCAACTTCAAATGGAGACGTTTTCTTCCATGGAAATCACTCGAAGAAACTTTTCTGGAATGGGACCTGCGGGCAGAACAAGACTGAATCGTAGAATCGAGTTTGCGCAAACCCTCATCCAAGATCTGGAAAAGCTCAAGTCCCTATCAGAGGATGTCGTGAAGCGCGAAGCAGAGAAATACCATGCAGTAGAGTTGGAGGAGGATGTTGTTGACTCCGTCTACTTCCCGGTAGCCAAGATGTTACCTATCATTGTCGAAAAAGCCTTAACGTAAGTGTCTCACTCCTCTGCCGCGTCCTTGTTGCTGATCTGGTACAGCCTTGATATCAGGCTTCTTTTCACAGATGCACTGCTGAAAATGCGCAAGAAAGTCGAGAGCCGATTCTACACTACAGCTATGGCGTTTGCAAACGACCTTTGCAATATCATCCGCAGTGGCATCATTTCTGAACCTCCGATAAGACCTGAAACCGCGGTTTCGAGAGAGCTTGAGCGTGGATCTACCATCAAGAAGGTCCCTCTCGATCTTAAGGAGCGCCGCAGACAGGGCAAACGGATCATCACCAGTAACAAGGCTCAACTAGAAGCTGCAGTGAGGGCGGAGGCAGAAATCAGTGGCAAACCTGTCGATGCGCTCCTCCAAGAATTGCAACAGATGGTCGATTCCAGTTACATTGCTAGTCACGACTCCATATCTGTATCACTAGGAGATGCGGCTTCTGTCGGAGACATCGATGCCGACCAGGATGTCGAGATGGCGGAGACTACGCAAAGCAAACCCGCAGAGCAACTTCACGGAGACCAGGATACATCTGCTGTTCCTCCATCCGGGGACGTGGAAATGCAAGATACTGACGCCCCAGGCGAAAAAGTTGACGACACGGTTGTGGCAACCCCCACAGGTGACGATACAATCAAAGTAGATACTCCGCTTGCTGAAATCGATGGAAACATCCCTCAGAAGGTATCTCAGACAGACGAAATGAAAAATACAGATACGCCACCCGCGGAGACGAACGGATATGTCTCGCCTCACGAGGTTGCGCAACCTGCTCCGCCGACTCCTCCGGTCTCGAACGGGGATTCAAACACCGAGCAAGTTTCCAACACCGAGCAGGTTGATGTACTGGCAAATGGGGGTATCCCTTACTATTTGAAGGACTTTGAACCAGAAGGCACCAGTCTCCTACAGGCTGAAGACAACATGTCGGTGTTCAGCGAGGAGCTCAGTGAAATGGGTGACGAGGAATTACAGGGTTTGGGAGACGACGTCAGAGCTGGAGCTATGCAAGCCGTGGACCCCGTTCTTGTCGTTCCTGCAAAGGCACCACAGAAGAAGGCCCGGAAGAAAGCGCGAAAGAGATGGTGAAAATCTTGCTTGTACTTCGATACTGTAACTATGAAGCTTTTTTTTCTCTGCGGTGCGTTCAGGAAGTTTGGGGCGTTGAAAATACCGGGGTTTTGGGGGGGGGGGGGTTGGGGGAAGGATGATCAGCAACGACGCTTACAGCTCATGGGGAATAAGCATCAGGGGTTGGGAAGGGTTAATGCGCACCAACAGTATTGCTTGTTTTGTAGAAAAATCACCATCCATTAATCATCCACTACAGACCGTGAGCAGTAAGTAGACGTGAGGAGGGAGAAAGTGGGCCCACGGTTTTGGAATATCCAGCACCGAGTAGCAACTAAACTTATTGAATTGACCCCGAGTTCCCGAGCCTCTTTCGCAAGCGCGGAAACGAACCCCCTCCCTACATTGAACATATTGGGTAGGTACCTAGGTACCTAAGTAGGTAGGTAGGTAGGTAGGTAGGTAGTTAGGTATCTTGGCCACCTAATTAGGAAACCCAGGGTATCTAGGTAATACATACATACATACATACATACATACATGCGTATAGTATACACTTTAGCTACCGGTATTTAGCTACTACATACTTATCCAGACCATCTCGAGACTTGTCGAGCGGTATCGATAGACATAGACAAGTTGAGTTGAGTTTGGGGTTTCAGTTTCGTTTTTATTTTTATTTGATCCGGTACGCTCTCTCTGTCTCTTTATCTGTCTGTCTTTCTATCTGTCTGTCTAGCTTACCTTGACTTAGCTTAGTAGGTATGTATGTGTGTATGGCCGTACGTATGCGCAAGGTAGAGAGGTAGAGAGGTAGAGGGGTAGAGGTAGAGGTAGAGGTACAAGTAAGTTTTTTTTTGGATTTTTCCCACCAAGCGGAAAAATTGTTGGTAGTACTCCGTCCGTAGGTAATTGATGATTCGGGACGGGGACGGGGACGGGAACATCTCTGGCCGAGAGAGGCCGAGAGGGCCGAGATATAATAGTGGCTTGCGATACTTAGCGCGCGCGGGCGGGGGAGGGGTGGAGGGGGGAGTGGGCGATGGGGAGGGGTTTTGGTATGTACAAGGTAAGGTAAGTATGCCTGTGTTGTTGGTTTTTGGCCTAGTTTTTGGGGGGGGGGGAGGCTTGAGATGCTGTAGGGCTTGGTTCTTCCCTTCTTCTTCTTTCTTTTCTTTTCGAGTTAGTACTTGTGCGTTGGGATTTCGCTGATCTATTCTATGATTTGATCTGATCTGTTCTTGTTCTGTTCTGGACAAGGGAAACGAAAGAAAACAGAGAGAGAAAAGAGAGAGAGCTCGGCTAAGGACTTTCTCCCCGTGTTAGTTTTAGGAATTTGACGATTTGAGAATTTTTGAGATTGTGTGGTTGCGGTTGATCTGGAGAAGAAGAGGAAGAAGAAGAGGCCAACATGGTCTACCCAGACACGTTCGAGGGCTTCCAGATCGAGGACCCCAAGCGCTGGACGGATTTCAAGCTCAACAAGCTGACGCCAAAGCCGTTCGGGGACTTTGATGTCGATGTCAAGATCCAGGCGTGCGGCGTCTGCGCGAGCGATTTGCATACCGTCTCTGGCGGGTGGGGAGAGCAGCATTTCCCGCTGTGTGTTGGGCATGGTGGGGTTATTTTTTTTCCCTCCCCTTCTCGATCATGTCGCTTCTTCCCGACTATACTTGCTCTGGCCTTGCGTTGCTGGATACGACGGGACTGTCGAGATAGGTGAACAATATGAATATGCTAACATGATGGGCAGAGATTGTTGGTACGGCCCTCCGCGTTGGGCCTAAGGTCACCCTTGTCAAAGTCGGCCAGAGGGTGGGCGTGGGCGCTCAATCGTACTCTTGCCTTGATTGTAGACAGTGCAAGAATGACAATGAGACGTACTGTCGCCATCAGCTGGACACGTACGGTGCGAAGTGGCCCGACACCGGGATCATCTCTCAGGGGGGATACTCTTCTCACGTTCGCACGCATGAGCACTGGTATGGCTCCCTATTCGTTCCCTTTCTTTCTTCATCGTAGATGGACATCTCTTGGGAATCAATCTCTACGTCGAGTTCGAGAGTACGGAGTTTGGCTGACAGGGCACCACCAGGGTCTTCCCCATCCCCGACGGCCTCTCAACCGCAAAGGCAGCACCTATGCTCTGCGCCGGCCTCACCGCCTACAGCCCGCTCGTCCGCAACGGCGCGGGTCCGGGCAAGAAGGTTGGCGTCGTCGGCATGGGCGGCATCGGTCACTTCGGGCTCCTATTCTCCAAAGCGCTCGGTGCCGAGACGTGGGCCATCTCCCGCACGCACTCCAAGGAAGCCGACGCCCTGAAGATGGGCGCCGACGGCTTCCTGGCCACGGTCGACAGGGAATGGAACAAGGAGCACGTCATGACCTTTGACCTGATCATCTGCACGGCGAGCAGTACAGAGGGCATGGATCTAGGGGCGTACTTGCAGCTGCTGGACGTGCATGGACGGTTCGTGAGTGTGGGCCTGCCGGAGGGGAGCGGGCAGGAGGTGAAGGCGCAGGATTTCTTGAGTAATGGGTGCTTGATCGGGGCGAGCCATCTTGGGAGTCGGAAGGAGACGTTGGCTATGTTGCAGTTGGCGGTGGAGAAGGGAGTGGAGAGCTGGGTGGAAGAGATTAAGATTTCGAAGGAGGGGTTGAAGGAGGCGCTGACGAGGGTACACAACAATGATGTGAAATACCGGTTTACGCTGACCGGGTATGAGGAGATGTTTGGTGCGTAGCGTTTGGTCAGCGTCTGATTGAGGCTGTTGTTGCCGAGGAGCTGGGTGTGTGACGAAGGAGGATTGGGGTGGTGCAACGTGTTGTGCTGGCCAGAACTATTTTCTCAGAAAGCTGGTTCTTGTTGATGACTAAAAATAAAACAAAATGTTGCTGCTACTCGTAAAGAATCCCGCGACATCTGATTAGGTGGCTGTTAGCTTCCACCGAAACTGAGGGCTATGGCCTACACGAGACGTGGAGCTTGATTTACGGAAGTAATGACTGCACTAGACTTGCATCTACCTTGGTATACTCCTTCTTTTGACTGCTATGACGGTTGAAAACAAGAGCTTTCTGCAAGCAACAAACAAGCAAAAGAGGACTCTGGGAACTGTTTCGCTCGGGAAAATGATCACCTCAAATATCGACTATCAGCAAACTATCAAGTAATCAATACCGAGAGTGCAGTAGACTTGTTCTTACTCTTCTCGTCACAGTCGTCACATTCCATTTTTACCTTTCGGAAGACCGAGATATTACTTCCTCGCAGGCCATGACCCATTGAGAACACACAGACAGATAGGCTATATCCCTTTTCTTTAAAAAAACACCATCAGCGATACCTCGGTTTGTGCACCGGAGTACATAAAGAGCCAATATATACCTAGGTATATGCATATATGACCCAGGGATACTCATCCCCTTCCAAAAGACAGGCTAGCAGTAGCATACAACACATAATAGCAATTTGAAATTCTGAATCGAAAATAGTGATCGATCTCTCCGCTTCCTATCCCATGGAATTCTCTTATGTAAAGAAGCGAACGAGATGCAGAGGGTCAAGACTCGATATCGATCATGGGATGATCAATGAAATTCGATCAGTTCCCACCCGGCCACGCTAAGATAGGATAGGTCCCCCATGACTTGCGAGACTGCGAAAACAATTGACTAAGAGGAGAGGGGAGGAGAGGGAGGGAAAGAAGGCTTTGGTACGATATTGTTTCTTTTCAGGCATGTTTATAAGACAGATTCTGCCGCAGGTCGACTTCTGCAGCACCCACCGATGACCTGTCTTGACTTGGAAGAGGAGGGCACGGCGGCCGGCTGAATAGCTAGCTGGTGACACAAAAGGGTTGTCTACCAACATTCAGGTCGGTATATAGCGAGGCAAAAGGTAACCAGATATTGGAGTTGATACAGTGAGTGATGTGTGAGAGGGGAGTGATATAAATCGCCACTGTAACGAGATGCGGATCCAGATCATCGGGGGCCGGCTAGTAAAATAAAGAGAAAGAAAAAAGATAAGAAATATGCATTCCTCAACTTCGGGACAAGATGTGGCGAGTGGATGGAGAAAATGTCGGACTAATACATTTTCTTTCCCCTCCATCCGAGTGAGAGCCTTTTGGTTTTCTGACACTGTCCATGTATCATCCCTCCCTCCCGTGCAGAGATGCAGATGTTTCGAAACGAGCGCCTCTGCGGCCAACGGGACAGGCCGCACTGCCATCTATGAGACCTTGAAGCGACATTTAGGTGTAAGTACTCAGCTCAGGTATGGACGGATAAACAAAACGTCCCTCCCTCCCTAGTCCGAATTCGTAGTAGGTTCGTGGCTCAAGTGGATGGATGGATGATGGATCTTGGGCTCGGTGAATGAATGAATGAATGAACGAATGAATGAAAAAATGAATGAGCAAATGACAGCTCCATGCGCCGGTGATTTGATTCGATAGATCAGAGATCTCGATAAACGCCCTTACGGTCACACTCGCAAACGACGCACATGGTGTTGAAATCTGGGGTAAGGAAGCTGACATGGTACCGTGGTATACGCACCGAGGGATCGAGAGATGTAGAGGAGAATATGCACAGAATGCATTGGTCATAGATCTAAATCTATCAGATCTTTGGTAGGTAGAAAAGTAATCTGACCTCATCTGACATCGGGGGGTCTGTTGAAGGTTTGAGATGGAAATGAAAAGAAAAACCCTAAAACCGCATCCGTACTAATAAGATCGATCAGATGATATTATTAGCGCTTTCCCCGAGAGGGACGTGGGGTTAATAGTCAGTGCGCCGACTATTATGCGCCGACTATCATGCGCCGACTAGGTATTATACCGGTACACTGACCATTTGACCATTACCCCTTTTTTCCTTTTTTCCTTTGTTCCCTTTTTCCCCTTTTCGCTCTTCCCTTTTCCCCATTCCCTTTACCCTTTACCCTTTGCCCTTTTCCCTTTTTCCCTTCTTTTCTCTCCAGTGTGTCACGGGGACAGACAGACAAGGCTTGACCGGATGGTGGGAAATTAAATGTCCGATCGCCGTTGACGAACCGCACGACAGACCTGCGTGCATCATCTCGAACTGTGGCTGGTGTTACAGGACAACAGGATGCGATGGCACTTGGACAACCAACCAAACTACCGTCACTAACTTCATCTCCCATCTCCGCCTCCACCTCCACACCCGCACCCGCACTCCCACCCGTCTGATCTAACCGTCAATGCTGCGCAAGTGACGGCACCTGAGTCTCAAGTCTCGAGTTGATTCACGTACCCAAAGAAAGGGGGCCGTCTGACACAGCTGGTCAGACGAGGTGCCGTTCGTTCGTGCCTTTGCTTCTTTTTGCCGCCCCAGGACCCTTTCTCTCCAGAGGTCTGAGAAGGGTGGACAAGCCAGGTCAGGAGGCTCAGGAGGCTCAGGAGGGTCAGGAGGGCCAGAAGGGCTAGAAGGCCATGGCTTCGGTGCTGGCGCCACATGGTCGTTGGGGTCGGGGCGACGGGGAGGGGGAGGGGGAGCTCGAGGAAGATGAGGACGGAGCTGCCATGTTTGGAATAGGATCGGACCTGGAGAGCCGCCGAGCTCAACATATAATAAACTCATCTTCTGCCTCTTCTGCCGCTTTGGCTTCTTATTCCGAGGATCGCCAACAGAGCCATCGCCTTCCATTCCTTCCCCAGTACCTGGACGTACGCGGCCGCGAGAGACCATTGAAGACTGGAAGAATCCACGTGAGTGTTTTTCTCTTTTTCTCCTTTTCTTATTCTTTTTCTTTTCGCTTCCTCTGCGGCCCCATTTTCCCTCTTCCCTTCCCTTCCCTTCCCTTCCCTTCCCTCTTCTTTCTGTTCTGCCTTATTTGCCGTACCTTGCCCTCTTTACCTTAGCCCTGCCCTAAGTATGTTCGGCCCTTTCGCGCTTGCCTGTTTTGCCGCTCGCTCGCTCGCTTGCTTGGTTGGCGGGCGGGACCCCCGATCCATCTAAAATTTTGGCCTTGCGCCTAAAATTCCCCCCCCCCACGACAATATTCTTCTTCCCATTGTCCCTTGCCTATTGTTCCCTCAACCCTCGCAACCCTCGTTGCTATTCCTCTGCTCCTCGACTCCTCGACTCCTCGACTCCCCCCATCTGTATTTCACATACATTCCTTCGACATTGGTTCTTTGGCACTCACTGGATACCCCATACTGATCCTTCTCCAGTCTGCGCATTCTTTTCCCACAACAACTACAGCAACCACTAGAACTTCAACATCTTACAGCAGCAGCAGCAGCAGCAGCAGCGGCGGCGGCTGTTACTATCTCACCATGGCAGCCTTCTCGATGTTCGTCATCGTCGCCGCCTTCTTCCTGCTCCTCGTCGCAGGCGCTCCCGCGCCCCTGGCTTCGCCCGCCACCAATGTCTCGGTAGCTGGCTCAAGCTCATATTGGCTTGCTTCCATCGCTCGCCAGGGCACTGTAGCTTACGGCGACTCGGCCTTCAAGGTATTCCGCAACGTCAAAGACTTTGGCGCAAAGGGAGATGGAACCACCGACGACACCGCCGCTATCAACGCGGCCATTGCCTCGGGCAACCGCTGCGGTCAAGGTTGCGATTCTACCACGATCACTCCCGCCATCGTCTACTTCCCCGCTGGAACCTACATGGTCAGCGCGCCTCTCACCCAGCACTACTACACTCAGATGATTGGTGATGCTACGAATCTTCCTGTTCTCAAGGCTACCGCTGCATTCAAGGGGATGGCCGTGATCGACGCAGACCCATACACGGATGCTGGTGTCAATTGGTTCACCAACCAGGTAGCTTCCTCCCCAGTGTCCGCGTAGAGACCGCAGCTTACATGTCACATAGAACAACTTCTTCCGCCAAGTCCGCAACTTCGTCATTGATCTCACGGGAATGCCATATACTGCCGGTGCTGGTATCCATTGGCAGGTTGCACAAGCGACCAGTCTCCAAAACCTCGTCTTCAATATGAGAACCGATGGCGGATCCGCAAACGCGCAGGTCGGCATTTTCATGGATAACGGGTCCGGCGGATTCATGACCGACTTGACCTTCAATGGTGGAAAATACGGTGCTTTCTTCGGATCCCAGCAATTCACTACCCGCAACATGAAATTCAACAACTGCCAAACTGCTGTTTTCATGAACTGGAACTGGGTAAGCAAACTTTCGTGTAACCCGTTTTTTTAGGCGAGACTGACACATATGCAGGCATGGACCCTGTCAGGACTTACGATCAACAATTGTGGTGTCGGTGTCGATATGGCAAACGGCGGTACAGCAAGCCAACTCGTAGGCTCTGTCATCTTCGTCGACAGCACCATCTCCAACACCCCCGTCGGAATTACCACCGCCTACTCGACAAGCACAACCTTCACCAACGGATCTCTGGTCATCGACAATGTCAATTTCTCTCCGAATGTACCTGTCGCTGTTCAAAACCCCACAACAAAGCAGACCATTGTGGCGGGAAATACCAAGGTGGCTTCGTGGATTCAAGGCAAGCAATACAAGGGAGCCAACGCCGGATCCACTGTCCAGGGAACCCAAACTGTTGTCACCAAGCCCGCTTCTCTCCTGGACTCTACGGGTAACGTCTTCACTCGATCCAAGCCACAATACGAGAAGGAGCCAGTCGCGGTCTTCAAGAGCGTCAAGGCTGCAGGAGCAAAGGGTGATGGTGTGACGGATGATACTGCAGCCATCCAAGCTGTGTTCAACTCGGTCTCTGCCTCGGACATCGTCTACTTCGACCACGGAGCATACGTGGTTACGTCGACCATTCAGGTTCCCAAGAACATTCGCATCACGGGCGAGATCTGGCCACTCATCATGGCTGGAGGAACTTCCTTTTTCAAGGACCAGAACAACCCAAAGCCCGTCTTCCAGGTTGGTCAGGCTGGCGATGTTGGAACTGTCGAGATGTCAGACCTCATTTTCGAAACCCTGGGACCCCAGCCAGGCGCTATTCTCATGGAGTGGAATGTCAAGGGGACTTCCCAAGGCTCTGCAGGTTTGTGGGATGTCCACTTCCGCATCGGTGGATCTGCAGGTACCCAACTGCAGTCGGACAAATGCTCGAAGAACCCAACGGTAACTGCACCTGCAAAATCTGAATGTATGGGCGCATACATGCTGCTCCACATCACGAAAACCGGTAGTGCATATCTTGAGAATACCTGGCTCTGGGTTTCCGATCATGGTACGTAACGGTCCATATTTCTCATCTTATAATCTCTTACTACACTCCCAAAACCTCTTTCGGGCAATGACTGACTCTCCGGTGTTCTACAGAGCTTGATCTCGCGGATCATAACCAAATCAACATCTACAATGGCCGCGGTCTATTGATTACTTCCACCGAGGGCCCAGTCTGGCTGTACGGCACTAGCTCTGAGCACAACGTTCTGTACAATTACCAAGTTGCTAACGCCAAAAATGTCTACATGGGCTTGATCCAAACAGAGACCCCATACTTCCAGAGCAACCCTGATGCGACAACTCCCTTCACAACCACAGATACTTATTCCGATCCAAGCTTCCGTGGTAGCTCGACCGCCAATAAGGCATGGGGCCTCCGTGTTGTCAATTCCCACGACGTCCTTGTCTACGGTGGTGGTCTCTACAGCTTCTTCGACAACTACAGCCAAGTCTGTCTTGCTACTGCGAGCTGCCAGGATAATATGGTCTCTATTGAGAACTCAACCGGTGTACATATGTATGGTCTGTCGACGAAAGCTGCCACCAACATGGTCACAATCAACGGAGCAAGTGCCGCTCTCGACAAGGACAACCGCAACAACTTCTGTGCTGCGATCTCGTACTTCGAAGTTGCTTAGGCCATGGTGGGTGTCTAGCAGTGGAGCGATGATATGACCTCATCTTCCATCCTGGAAATACCCTTATTTTCTTGTACATACTGATATGCAATTTTGGCATCGGGAAAGGGGCTCTATGGGAAGGCGTATCGGTGGATCAAATCACATCACTTGGATGGAGTTTACGAGGTCGATTAGCATGCATTTTCACGGATGCAAATTTCCTCCGTGGATATTTGAGAGGTGAAAAATCCAAAATATTTGGCCCATGGACTCTGCAGATGTGACTTCCTGGCTTTCCAAATGTGATTCTCGAGTTTGGGTCCTCTTGGATTATGTTATCTACATGCTGCATTCTGACCTGAGTATTGGAGTAGTTCAAGTCATTCTGCATAAGAAACAATCTCCCAGCCTTCCCACCGTGTGAAAGTTAACCGGACTCAATTCCCAATTCGAAGCCATTGCTTGGTGAACAATGTGCTTGTTTTTCCCTCGACGAGAGGTCTCCTTCTCACTGTGATCCGTCCTATTCGTCGAAGAAGGGCGCAGACGACAGTAGTTTTTGCTGCACCACTTTGAATTGCTTTCTAGGGCTGTCTTGTACGTAAATCGTGAGCTTTGCACGTCGCCGTATCCCATGGGAGGTCCCGGGGCGGCAGGCTCCGCCTGCTACCCGCCCGACGTTAATAAATCCAACAACAACAACAACAACAACAACAACAATAACAATGTGCTTGTCAGCTCTCTTCCTTGACCCCTGATATAGACCCACTTAATCACGTGCACCACAATCAGGCGTCTTGGTTGTCCCAGCGATTGCCGTAGTCAACTTGATCTGGAAATACGTGGAGGGGATTCCAGTCGCAACTTGCCTCCCATACAAAAACCATCAACCACGACGATCTTGAGATAGGTCCATGTACCAACATACCACCGGCATTTCCAAACCAACCATAGAATCCGCTCCTCTGCCATTACCTCTTCTCCCAGTGTCAAGATGGGAGAATCAAGGTCAGTCGCGGCGCAGGTTCAACGAATACAACTCCGAGGCTCTAACGCGCCATGTACAGACAAGAGCTTGTTGCATGGCTCAATAATCTGCTTCAGCTGAACATAACCAAAGTCGAGCAATGTGGAACTGGGTACGTTTAACCCCTCTCCCGCAAACTATCACCCGCCCCCGACCCCTTGTCAGAGCCTCGCTGACAGCATCCAGGGCCGCTCTCTGCCAGATCTTTGACAGCATCTACCTCGATGTCCCCATGTCGAGGGTGAAGTTCAACGTGAACACGGAGTATGCGTATCTGCAGAATTTCAAGATCCTCCAAAGTACGACATCCATCTACCCCTCGGCCAAGCCCCGCAAACAAAATACTGACTGCTTCTTCTCACACAGATTGCTTCACACGCCATGGCATCGACCGACCCGTCAACGTCGAGCAGCTAATCAAGTGCAAAATGCAAGACAACCTCGAATTCCTACAATGGTCGAAGCGCTATTGGGACCAGTACTTCCCAGGTGGTGACTACGACGCAGTTGCCCGCCGACGGGGTTCCGGCGCCCCTCCCCCGTCTTCAGCCCCCGCTTCACGACCCTCTGCCGGCGCAGCCAAGAGAGGGACGACGCCGACCGCAGGACGACCAAGAGTAGCCGGAGCAGGAGGAGCAGCCAGTGCGGCTTTGCAATCGGAGAATAATACCCTTAAGGAGACGGTCCAAGGCCTCGAGCGCGAACGAGACTTCTACTTCAGCAAGCTCCGAGATATTGAGTTACTGATTCAACAAGCGTGCGAGGACGACCCCGAAATTGAGAAACAAGAGGACGGGTTGATCAAGCACATCCAGACCATCTTGTACTCGACGGAAGACGGCTTCGAGATCCCAGCTGAGGCGGAGGGGCTCGACGACCAGGAGACATTCTAAATTCCCCCCCTCCCCCCTTTCTTAATGAATATTAACGACTTGAATGGATGATGAGCGGGGCATATTACTACCTACTCGACTTTGCAGAGGCTGCAAACCTGTTTTCTCTTCGGCTTCTGGAGTTAATCTCGAGCATACGCCAGGCCTGACGCGAGGTATGAGTTCCGGGAGATCCTAATGATTTCTTGCGGGGTGCGCTTATCAAATAGCGACACTGCGGATCTGATGTGGGGATTTCTGAAGAATGAAAGATTCATGAACCAAAAAGCAGAGTATTTTGTACAAACGTGTGACTAGCCATAGCCTTTTCTTCTTCTTCTTCTTCTTCTTGTTCATTTTCTATGAAATATCTTGCGCATCCTTCTTCATCTTCGTGGCCCCTCTTTGCTGGAACACGGCACGTCATTTGTCATTTCCAAGCCAACAAGATTCCGCAATAGGTAGGAAGCTAATCAATGGTAGCGAAGCCGCACAATCCTAAACCATTCTGCTATCAGTCAGTCAGTCAGTCAGTCAGTCAGTCCATCATAGGCTTAGTTTAGTCGATTGAGCCTAGCTTACTTACATACAATACAGTACATGGTTGCACAAGACAAGTCAGTAATAAGCAAATAAGTACCCTGGCGGGGAGGGGGAAGGGGAAAGCTTGAGTTGTAGACTGAGGGGAAGGAAGGTGTTTTTTTGGGGGGTGGTTGATCAGGATCGATTGGGGAGGGAGAGACTTTTTGCAATTGACTGACTAGTCAGGAAGGGGTGGGCGGGAGAGAGAAGAAGAAGAAGAAAGGAATAGGAAGTGAAAGTAAAGAAAAAAGTATAGTGTATGTATCTTCTCGATCGGCTCTTTTCAAGGCCTTCACAGAACTGTGTGCTATTGAATATCTCGTGATGTTATGCCCTCGTCCTGGTCTTCGTTTTCGTCTTTGGTGGCTACGATGATATACTCTCGATTACGGTGTACCTCGCGTGTATTTCGCATCGCTTTAACCGAGCTGGAATCCTTCAACCAATCCAGTTCCTCGAACGTGAGTAAGGCCATGCATATCAAGGACTGGACGAAGCTAATGCTATGAGAGCCTTGACCGACTAATCTGCTACTTGGGAGTCCTTATAGGGTTCTCTCTTGATTATTTCTTTGATATGTTTCTATTGCTTTCTTTCTTGTTTTTATTAGCAGAAAATATCCAAAGAGGCATATACTCCGTATGCAGATCTCGGAAAGCAAGCCGCTACTACGTCGTCGCTCAAGTCAATATTTCTCTCTTCGGTGGTCAATAAATGTAAGCGAACCCCACACTTCAACCCTGGGCTTGGACTTGGACTTGGACTTGGACTTGCATATAGCGCCAAGCAAAATCCCTTGTCACCCACCAGCCTCAGCAGGCTGCAAGCTAATTCCGACATCAGGTCTTACAAATGACACCGACATTCCCACTATTCTCTTCAATATAACCATCAACCCTCCCCCAAGAAACTCTCACTCTCGCCACGGAATCAGGCCAACTGTGATAAAGATAATCCCTTTCGAACCACAACTCCCCAGCCATCATGGCGCCCCCTATCGAGCTCTCCATCCCATCCACCATCCTCTCCTCAGATCAAAACACCAAGCCGTATACCCTCTACAACATATCCCTCCGCCTCCCTCTCCGCACCTTTGTCATACAGAAACGCTACTCCGACTTCGTCACCCTCAACTCATCCCTCGCCTCAGCAGTCTCCTCCCCTCCGCCCGCAACGCTCCCCGCCAAATCCTGGTTCAAATCTACAGCCTCCTCCCCAGAACTCACGGAGACCCGTCGGAAGGGTCTAGAAGAGTACCTTCGAGCTATCGCAGAATGCCCCGACAAGAGGTGGCGGGAGACGAGCGTATGGCGGAGTTTTTTGAACCTGCCGAGCTCGAGCGGGGGCGGAAGCAGCGTGCGCAAGGAGCTGGTGCAGGCGAATCAGCGGCTGGGCGTGCGGAATCCCGGGCAGGTAGCTTCGGATCCGGGCGTGTGGCTGGACCTGCATCGTGAGATGAAGGGGCAGTTGCATGATGCCAGGCTGTTTCTTGGGCGGAGGGACGGGGCGACGAATCCGCAGGCGCAACATGAGGCTGGGGCCAATGCGAAAAGATGTCTTGTCAAGGCTGGGGCCTTGCTGGGCAATTTGGAGGAGGGACTGCAGATTATGGGTGAGGGGGATAAGAGGGGATACGAAGCGAAGGTTGGGGCTGGTGAGCTCAGGAGGCGGAGGGACTTACTTGGGAGCGCGAAGGTTGAGAAGGAGGGGTTAGAGAAGCTGGCTGTCAGTCTTGCGGTTAAGGGGCAGCATAAGGGGAATGGAATTGGCAGTACAGCTGCTACCCAACAAGATAAGGATGTTCTATTCGGACCCAATGTATCGAGGCCGAGCGGGAGGGTTCTTGGTGCGCCGGTGCCAGAAACGGACAAGACGCGGGAGTTGGGTAACGAAGGGGTACTACAGTTGCAGAAACAGCTTATGGTAGATCAGGATTTGGATGTAGATGAACTGGCCAAGATAGTCAGGAGGCAGAAGGAGATGGGTCTTGCTATTCACGGGGAGTTGGAGTTGCAGAACGAGATGCTCAAAAGGGTCGATGAGGACGTTGATCGCCTTGGAGGGAAGATCAATATCGCAAAGAAGAGGATCGGGAAGATCTCTTGACTTCCTTTACCCTCTCTTTTGCGGCATCATTCGTCCCCCTTGTTTCAGAGCCCTGTTTATGTTGATGATGGGATTGCGCTTTAGCCTGGAGTCTGTCTGGTTTGCACAACACATTGCATGAATTGATGGAAGCACCTTTTGTATAGTGTAGTACTACCTTGTAATATGAGCATTTTATCTTCGTGGCCGGGCGTAGCTCTGTCTATGCTGCGGGTGACTATGGATCTTGCTTTGCTGTTTCCATGCGTGTGCCTCTCTTGCATTGCGAATTACTGTTGATGTGTTTCTTGTCTCTCAACCTCGTCTTCTTGTCCATACCGACCGCTCGCTCGTAACTCGCCCTTGCATTGTACAATCTATTGTTCGTTGCAGCGAATGAAATAGAGACATGCCTTGGACATAAGCTGCGAGGCAACATAATCGTGATGCTGAAATTAGACGAATCTGAGCTGCGTGCTGAGTCTGGCTGGCCGACAGACAGATTGGCCCTAAATGAAATTGCAATATTCTCCTGAAAGGGGTTTCACACTCCAGCCGGGTCCCAGCCGGTATACTACCGCCTCGGAATCGACTTAGGATGCCAAGGCGGTGAATGCCACGGCAGTCGGCGGGATGGCCTAGTTGGCAAACCATCCCGCATCAGAAAGGAATAGGAATGAATTGCCCTACGGTATCCATACTATATCTGCAATCCCGCATTCTTGCGCTCAAAAAACTATCTCTTGTAGTTTGATGCTTCATGGATTGTCTTTCTTTTTGGGAATCGTGTTGGTTGCTTCGCACGTTGATCTTTCTGGCCGCGAGAGCCCACTTGATTTCTAACGTGGGAAGATGCGCGTACCTTACTCTAACCTGCTCAGAAACGCAAGTGCTCGGTGCTCGTCAGGGTATGCTTGAGGGTCATTCAATCTTTTTAAAGGTGACTTTGTGGTGTCCTATTGCGGCCCCGTGCATTCGTGGTATCTCAATGCAGTCGTCGCCTGGGCTCGCAATTCAAGGTGCTGCATTGCCCCTACATATGCAGCGATGATGCTACGTCGCGCTTGAAGGAACAGTTCAGGCAGGCATACAGGCGGTCAATGGCGCATCGTAGTACCGCAATTTATTAGGCCCTTGCCGTCTCGGGGCTTCGATGTGGAGGTGTGGCGGGTACCCCACATTGGTTGGTGATGTCGCGCTCGCTTAGCATTTGTTGACGTCCACCAACCACAAAAACAAACCCCCAAAAATGAAAAAAATTGCGCGGCAGCCACCACGCTCCTCCAAAAAGAAAAAAAAAATCACCGACGGTATAACCGGCAAAACCTATTCATCTCCGAAGAGAACCGTGGGAATGGAGCCTCAACTCTCGGGATCGAACCGAAAGCCGCCAGGAACAGGCGAATAGGGAAAGTACCCAAGGCGCACGCCATACTTTTAACCGCCATCTCATCATCGATAGGATACCTTCTTCGGCAGAGGTAGTTGGGCTACATGCACGCGTCGTAACTAGAGATTGCGGTTTCTGATGTCGTGGAAAGTGAAATCGGTTTACATGACCCCGAAAAAAAAAGGGTTGCTTTGTGCCGGTGACGGGCCGGGCTTGATGCCGCGCCGGCGAGGTTGTGGCGCCGGTGAGGCTGCGGCGGAATCCGACCTGCCTACCGGGAGCGATGGATGGGAATACCAGAGCTGGCCCCCTGTGTTTCTTGAACTAACTGTCACGCCAGGGCTTGCGGAGCTGCTTCTTGGAGGATAATTCTCGCTGTTGGATCACGGTTTACATACAGTTAGTTCTGTCTATCACTTTCCACATCGCGCGGACTGGAGATCTTGATCGGATTCATTGATTCTTGGAGGGCGGGATCTCTGAAGCCCTCCACGTGTGTGCTGAGCTCAAGTGTCAACAAGACTCAAAGCTTAGGATAGGGGTCAATGGCAGTTTGGCTTTTCACGCAGACGGAGGCCTCTGATCTACAGATCGAGATTCGTGGTAGCTCTCTGTGCTATGGTATACAGTTGCAGACTCTTGGGCTGTCTAGGATGGAGGGATTGGACGGAGCTTTGCAGCCAGCTGCCATTCCTAGAGACTGGAGATCTACAGTGGGAGGGTCAGTCGGGGTTGTTGAAGTACGATAGAGATGGCTCTTTGGTGGGGGTTCCAGGGCAGAGAGGGAGGCTGCTTGCAGATTGAGCTTTCTAAATAGGAGGTAGGAGGGACTCGCGAGAAAAGCCGTGAATAGGGGTGAGCTTTTAGCAAGGTGGTGGTTTGGGTAACGCCAGGTCGATATCAGATCACCTATGGAGCTGAGCTTTAGGTTCGATGATATTGTCACTCTGTTACGGATCTCGTTCACGAAGAGCAATTTGGTAAACGCCTTGCAATAATTAACGCCTCGGTGCATCTCGAAATCATCGGATCTCATGGCCACAGCCCAAGCCGGCCAGACTCATCTACGAACCGCAAAAACCGCCCCCCGTTTTCTCCAATGCCAGTCGTCCGTATCACTCGTTCTCTCAAGAGACATCTGGGAGGTGGGTGCCTTGCATAGTACGGAAGTACAGGCTACCCTCGTCGATCTCGCCCTCTCCGAAATCCATGCCGTTCATGTGAGCTCTTCCATTGCTGTACTGTCTCCATGTTAGCAGGTGGAACTCGGGCTCTGTAGAGGCGGCTGACATACGGCAATGACGTAGGAGCCCGGAGCCCAGTCGACGTACTCCTTGTCAGGGTCGACGTGGTCCTTTGATTGGAGGGTCCATGGCACGTCCGAGTCGGGATCGAATCCGGGAGGGACGGTGTACTTCTTGCTGGGCTGGGCTTTTCGTCAGCGGGGGCTCTTCGCATTTCGGAAGAAGGGGCGGGATGGGCTCGACTCACGTCGGACTTCTCGCCCAGGACCTCCTTCTCGGTCTCATCCTCATCGACGGTCTCACCTCCAGCAAGCTTGGAAGCCTTCGCAGCGTTCTTCGCCTTGAGATCTTCGTCGGCCTTGCGAGCCTTGAGTTCTGCGGCCATCTTCTTGAGCTGGCTGTGGCTCAGCTTGGTGTACGATCCATCGGCGTTGCGACCGGCGGCCAGCAGGTACTCCTGGGCCTCGTCCAGATTGGGGTAGAAGATGGAGATGATGTTGAGGGACTTCATGTCTATGTTGCCCAGTTCGAATGGGCGGACCTCGCGTGGGATCCCCTCCCGAGGCTGAGACGGAGAGGGAAGTCAGCGGTTGCAGATAGAAATTTGTGGAAGGAGATTGGTTTCTGGCTCGTGGGAAACTTACGGTCCTGGTCCCCCATCGCTCGTTCACGGCTACCTCCGTGTCGGTAAGCATCTTTTCTGGTTGAGGGGGCGCGAGGCCTTTGAGTGTCAGCTCTTGGGTTGTGGGAGATGTGTATGTGTGTGTGTTGAGATGAAGAGGACGGGGAGAAGACGAGCTCTTTGGAGGAGGTGTCAGTTCTTAAGTTGTGGGAGATGTAGATGGAGAGGACGGAGAAGACGAGCTTCGGAGGAGGTGTCACTTCTTAAATTGTGGTAGATGAGTGTGTTGAGGTGAAGCAGACGGGGTGAAGACGAGCTTCGGAGGTGAACTCACCTTGCCGAATTTGTGGCCCTCTGGGACGCTAGAGGTCTCTGTCGCTGTCAGTCATATGTCCAACCAAGAACGGCCCCGAAGTTTAGCCTAACTCGGCTGATTTGTTGACAAACAGAAAGGGGCGAACCAAGAAAGAGCACCTACCCCTTGGAGACCTCAAACCTGTACAGAGGGTTTGGTACCTCGGTCCCGCGCCCCCCCCCCCCCCCCCCCCCCCCCCAAAAAATGAATGCATAATTAGATCGGAGCTGCGGAAGAACTGTGCGGAGAGGGAAAAGAAGAAGGTGCAAGATCGAACCCTCGAGAGAGCGAAAAAGTTATATGCGCCCGGAAAATCCGCTAGCGCGGAAACATTTCACGCTAGACTCGACTTTCCTGCGTGGGCTCTCTGCGGCCGCTTCGAGTTGTTTGATAGGCAGGCTCATAGATTAGGGAATGAATGCGTGAATGGCTCGGGCCGACGGTCTCGCTTTTTGTGCGTTATTCACCGAGTATCGGATCGGGCTGGCTGCCTGCCTGCGCAAAGCTGCCTCACGAATTCAAGCACGTTGCTGAAAGTGAATCAATGGTATGAGAAGTGCGCTGGTGACGCATCCCTCTCGATCGGATTAGGTTGGAAGGGTTACTAAGAACCACGGGTTGGTTGACCGCGACGAGGATATGATATTGGGAGAGAGGTGAATTTGAAGAAATGGCTTGGATGGTAAATACACTTAGTCACCTCACTCACTCTACTAGCTAGTAGACATGGAGTTCTCTCTGTCTCTCTCTCTCTCTCTACATGTCATTGTGCCCATTCTGCAGACAGTTGGACTGGATCGTGGACCACGCCACGCGCGATTGGAACGATTGATTGCCTTGCTTGGATTGGATTGTCGCTTTGGCCTGTGACAAAGCTGCTGTGTGTGTAAGCTACAGATCCCTCCTGATCTTGAAGGTGTCCTCCATTACTGAGAAGTGGGTTCAACTGCACCTGCTCCGAGGTTTTCCGAGTAGAGAGATGCAATCGTTTGGTTGGTCGGTTGGCTTTGCTTTGCTTTACTTAGGTTCTCCCAAGATGGGATACCCGCCTCCACATACTTCCAAATACTAGCGAGGGAGAGAAACATGAGGAGGATATGATGGTATCAGAATAGGATAGGGTAGTTCGTTCCCATCCCATCGAAATCTATAGGATGGATGGATGGTGGATCGATGGGTGGATGAACCGCGTATGTATGTAAGTAGGTACCTTATGTATTTATGCATGTAACTCCCTCACTCCTCCCTGAGTGGCTAGCTAGCTGCCAATGGCATGAGCTAGCTGTGAACGGACGCGGAGTCGTTACAAGGTTGCGCGTGAAGCTAGTTAGCTGTTTTGCTTGATTGATCTTCGAGTGTTGAAGGGGAAGAAAGGGAGGGGGAAAAGGGAAAGGCTGGGTTGGATTTGTGGATGATGGGGTGTGGTGGGAGGGTGGGTTGGGGGAATTGGGTTAGTACGTATGTAATTACTTGTGTATTGTGGAAGGGAAGAGCTCCGACATATACCCAACGTCAAATCAAGAGATATATATGAATATAGCTATAGTAGAATCGTAGGTGAATAAGGAAGGAGAAAGAGGACGATCGAAAGACACTCGAATGTGTGCTATGAGTACGTGTATTATATTGTGTAATGATAAAGTGGTGCTAGTTTAGAAAAGAACTAACTACTCGTTTATATAAAAGCTTGCACGTGACTTAACCACGTGCTTAGCAAGGCTAAAGCATACAGCGCACCTACATGACAAAGGTGCTTAGCATTAGTACTATATATATAAACAAAACAAATACAAAGCCTTAACTCTATCATATACGTTCTTCTTTCGAATCAGATTCGCTTTCGAGTCACCTTTTATTAAAGTGGTAAGGTTAGGTTTGCAAGACGAGCATATGGCCGAATTGCACGGTCGTAATATAGTCTTAAAGTACTACTTAATAATGCATCGCCGGATCGGTGTTAGTACGAGGCGTATATGATATAATAAAGAAAATAAAAATAGCAACGAAAATGCAAAATAATCTTTCGAATTTAACTTTTTCTTATATCTTTTATAGCTTACTTATTTAACTATAAAAACAATATTAATTCGAGCGTTAGTATTGTCGTTAAGATAAGCGTGCGCTAGTTTAAGCGGTTAAGTGGTGACGCATTGCCGAATCGGTAGTAGCGCGGGGCTTAAAGCGGTAACGTAATAAAGAAAACAAAGGCGGTAGTATATACTCGAAGTCTTGCTATAAATAGTACCTTTTTCTTATATCAACTTTACACTTTTTTATCTTTTTTTTAATATTACTATTTACTAACTTTATTTTTTACTATTATATTATCGATCTGCTTTCGGTGCGTAAGCTACGTAAGCAGAACTATTAATAATGCTGCGAATCGGTGCATCTTTTCCGCTGATAAATCTATTAAATGCAAGCGTTGCTATGCTATTAAGTCAACTTGCATCTCCGTAAGTTATCTTACTTTCCGTCTTATACTCGTTTTAACTCCGATTCGATAGTTCTTCGCAAAAGTCGTTAGTGTCGATATAGTCTTAATAAATACGATAACGGTTATAAATAATAAAACTAAGACGGCTGACGACGTTTTTCGTAAAAGCATAGTTGTAAATAACTTTTTAATAAAGACCCGCCGTGCTCTTGCTTCTTGTGTTAATAATGCTTTTTCTTTTCTTCGAGCTCGTATCGCCGCTGCTTCTCTTGCCGCTATTAATGCTAAAGGTCCTTTAATTAGCTTAAGTCCCGTCTCGGCGTTACGCTTATTTGCCGCCGCTGCTACCGCCGATCCAGCTTCGCTAGACTTGCTGCGTTAGATCTTAGCTGTAATAGATCGAAATAATACTTTGCTAAGTAACTTTTTTAGCCGCGTAAATGTATATTGCGAACCCTTTATGATTTCTTTTCGATCTGATTACGATAGATTGCCGAAAAGTCTTCGTCTTTTTCATCTTTATCTTCGGAATCGCTAGCACTTTTTACCGCGAAAAAGCTCCGCCGAAGTGCTCGCTAAGCTTTTAATCGCGGCAATACCGGTGGTTCTTTTTCGCGAGGTTCTAGCTATAGCAATACTCGTAGTTTTACGAAAGGTTCGAGTCGTAGCAACATCGGTAAGACTTCGAAAGGTAAAAGCAATGCTTAAGGTGCTGCGAAAAGCTTTCGCACTATTTTACTTAGCTTTAAGTTGTGAAGTCGGAAAGGTTTTTATCGCGGGTCGGCAGCTTATTAAGTAATTAATACAATAGATTTTTCGTATGCTTTTCTTGATCAGCCTTCGAATAAAGTCCGCTTTATATATATGATATGCTCGTATATAATAAGTCGAAAGCATATAAGTATAATAACGTAAAGCTTTTTAATATAAAAAAAAAATAAAAAGAGTGTAAAAGAAAAGAAAATAAAAAAAACCAAACTTAAATAAAAAAAAATTAAAAAATCAAATCTAAACTCGTCTTTCTCTTACGTATAATCATGCTTTTATAACTTAATCACTTTTTATCGCTTTTTTATTATTGCTTATAAAGACTCTTGCGTATTGGCTCCGTTGCTCTTTCGTAAAGCTAAGTAATCGAATAACAAATCTATTTAAGCGCTTGATCTAAGAGCCGGACTCGGCCACTTCATCTAATAAAAGCTGTTCTAAAGATCTTTTTATTTAAAGCTTAAAGCGAAGTAGTGACGCTTCGAAGGTATATCGCACGTAGAACTTTTTTAATCGATTACTAGCAAATATTCTATTTAGCAAAGCTTCGTTTTCTTTTAGCTCTTTTAACTTGTAATATCTTTTTATATTTACCGACGAAATTTAATAAAAGCTAAGCTATCGAAAATCTAGTTTCTTAACGTTGAACATATCCGCTTTACGTACCGAGTCGTGCTTAAAAACCAAGTCACTTACTTTTAAAGGTTTAATTCGAAGGTTCTTTTTATTATTAAAAGCATCTTTTCCTTTTTAACGACAGCGGGTTTTCTTAAGTATAGCTTCCGTAACATCTTCGTTTCGCATCCGGAACTAACGTGCTTTTAATTCGATAAGCTTAGCACGATTAGTTATTAGCTTTTAAAATAACGTAACTTAAGATTAAATTCGAATCTTAATCGAAAGCATTGCTTCTTTGCCGTACACTATATAAAAAGAGGTGAATCCGGTAAGAGTATACACCGAAGTGCGGTCGGCGAATAAGACGGCTAGTAATTGCGCAATTTAATCGATGCTTTTAAGCTTATTTAATGCGTTTTTAATTAGTCCGTAGCCGCGTTTTATTATTCTATTCGCTTAAAGGTAATATGCTAAGACTACGACTCGATTGATTCTTTAATTGTTAAATAGATCGATTACTTCTTTTTTAAACTCCGAACTTTTATCGATTATTAGTTGAAAGAAAATCTTATAACGGCAAATGATATCTTTTTAAATAAACTTAGCTACCGAAAGCGAGTCTCGGGTCCGAATCGCTTTCGCTTCGACTTATCTACTTATATCATTTTTAGCAATAATTAAGTAGCTTTTGCTATTGCGTGCAAGTAGATAAATAATATCGATAGCTTAGCGTTTTATTAAGCTATTAAATCGGGTAAGATGTAATAATTCTTTAAGCTTATTAGCTGCTCGGTGTTAGTATTTTTTACAAGTCTTGACGAATCGTTTAACGTCCGTATAACATCTATTTTAAAAGTAGCGTTAAAATACACGATAATAAATTGATTTACGGCTT